GAAAGAGAATGAATTCAAGTTCTGGACATGTTGATGCCTATGGGACATCCAGTTAGAGATGTTCAACAGGCATCTCACACTGAATATCAAAATAAACTCATAATGAGTTTATGATTTAGAGATAATGAGTGATATCATAAACTAATTAGAGGAACATGGAAAAAAATTACTTGTCAGATCTATGGATAAGAGAAGAATTCACAATCAAACAAGAGATAGAGAGAATCATGGGAGGTAAAATGGATAACTTTGATTACAAGAAATTAAAAAGTTTTTATACAAACAAAACCAATACAGCCAAAACAGACTAGAGATCAGGAGAGGGGTTAGGGTTGCACGAATAGATCTAAGAGTCATCTGCAGACAGACGATAATTTAATCCATAGAAGCTGATGAGATCATCAAGTGAAACAGTACAGACGCAGAAGAGAAGAGGCCCAGAACAGAGCCTTGGGGGACACTTACAATTTAGTAGGTACAACCTGGAAGAAGATCCAGCAGAAAGTAACAGAGAAGCAGAAGGAGAAACAGGAGACAACAGTTTTGCAAAAACCTAGAGAGAGGAGAGTATTGAAGAGAAGAGAGTGAGCTATAGGATCAGAGGCTTCAGGGACGTCAAGAAGGATGAGGATTGAGAAAAGGTTGTTGGCTTTGGCCATTAAGAGATCATTGGAGATTTTGGAGGGAACAGTTGTAACTGAACAATGACATTGGAAGCCAGGGTGTACAGAGTAAAGAAGAGAGTGAGAGGAAAGGAAGTGGAAACACTTCAGCTACAAAGGAGAAAAAGAAGTGATGAAGAATGTTAGCTAGTGGGGATGGGCCAATCAAAGGAAGGTTTTTTGAGTATGAGTGAGACAGGGACGCATTTGGAGGCATCAGGGAAACAAGCTAGTGGTCAGAGAGAGATCAAAGCTTAGTGAAAGAGTGGGGATGATGGAGCACACAATCTAATGGAGAAGGTGGGACAGAGCAGGTCATTTGTGCATGCAGAGGGGCTTGCCTTGGCAGGAAGAAGGGCTGTGCCTTCACGTGAGACAAGAGTGACTTGGACATCTGAGTGGTGCGATATGAGGAGGGGGGAAGAGGAAGCTCTTGGTGAATGGCCTGAACTTTTTCATTGAAACTGAGAAATCAGTTTCTCAGCTGAAAGAGTAGGGGGGACAGGGATGCCAAAGGGACCATGTCACATGAAAGATTAAGAACCCATGCACTAGACAAACCCACATAAATCATCAGCATGTCTATATATTACCAACAAAACACAGAGACAGACAAATTCCATTTAAAATAACTGCAGACAATATAAAATACTTCGGAATCTAACTGCCAAGACATACTCAGGAACTATGCAAACACAATCACAAAACACTCTTCACACAAATAAAGACAGATCTAAACAACTGAAGAAATAGTCATTGCTCATGGCTAGGGCAAACCATTATCATAAAAATGACAATACTACCTAAGTGAAATTATTGATTCAGTGTCATATCCATCAAACTACCAAAGACTTATTTTATGGAGCTAGAAAAAAATAATAACAAAATTCATCTGGAATAACAGAAGTTCAAGAGTATTAAGGGAATAAATGAGAAAAAAAATTAAGGAAGGTAGCTAAGGAGTATGTGATCTCAGACTATACTACAAAGTAGTAAATCATCAAAACAACGTAGATAAGAAGTAGAGTGGTTGATCAATCAAATAGGTTAGGTCCACAATATACAGAAATAAATGAGCTCAGTAACCTAGTATTTTAAAAACTCAAAGATCCCAGCTACTGGGGCAAGAATTCACTATTTGACAAAAACTGCTGGGAAGACAGTCTGGCAGAAATTAGGCACAGGCCAACATCTTATACTGAATCCCAAAATAAGCTCAAAATGAGTATATGATTTAGAGATAATGAGTGATATCATAAGCAAATTAGAGGAGCATGGAAAAAAATTACCAGTCAGATCTATGGCTAAGAGAAGAATTCACAATCAAACAAGAGATAGAGAGAATCATGGGAGGTGAAATAGATAACTTTGATTACAAGAAGTTAAAAAGTTTTTATACAAACAAAACCAATGCAGCCAAAATTAGAAGGGAAGTAGGAAACTGGGGGGAACATTTTATAGCAAGAGTCTCTGATAAAGGCTTCCTTTCTCAAACATATAGGGAACAGAGCCAAATTTATAAAAATAAGAGCCATTTCCCAACTGATCAATGGTCAAAGGATAGGAACAATCAGTTTTCAGAAGAAGAAATCAAAGCTATATGTAGTTATAAGAAAAAATATTCTAAAACCTTAATAATTAGAGAAATGAAGATTAGAACAACTCTGAGGTACCACTTCACACCCACCAGACTGGCTAGGATTATTAGCTAAATCCTATGATCAATGACAAAAAAGGAAAATGACAAATACTAGAAGGGATGTGGAAAAATAGGTGCATTAATGCATTGTTGGTAGAGTTGTGAACTGCTGTATTTGGGAAGAATAGCTACCCTAAGCCCAAAGGGCTATAAAACTGCACATACCTTTTGACCTAGCAATACTGCTACTAGGTCTGTACCCCAAAGAGATCAAATAAAAGGAAAAGAACTCACATGTACAAAAATAGTTATAGCAGCTCTTTTTATGGTGGTAAATAATTAGAAATTGAGGGGATGCCCATCAATTGGGAAATGGCTGAACAAGCTGTGGTATAAGATTGTGGTGGAATACTATTGTGCTAGAAGAAATGACAAGGGGAATAGGCTCAGAAAAACTTGAAAAGACTTATATGAGCTAATGCAAAGTGAAGTGAGAAGAACCAGGAGAATATCTGATATGGTAACAGCAATGTTATAATGATGATCAACTGTGAAAGACTGAGATACTTTAATCAATACAATGATCCACGGTAATTCCAGAGGACTCACAGTGAAAAGTGCTCTCCACCTCCAGAGGTGAACTTTGAGTGCAGATTAAAGCACACATTTTTTTTCTTTATTTATTTTTCTTGCATTTTTTTCTCACCATGAACTAATGCGGAAAAATGTTTTGCATGACTTTGAATATGTATAATGGGTATTATATTTCTTGCCTTATCAATGAGTGGGGGAGGGGATGGATGGAGGGAAAGAATTTGGAACTGAAATTAAAAATTAAAAAAAGAACTCCTGGACTAGATGGTCTCTAAGGTTCTTTTCACTTTAAATGAGGTGCTACTTGACTCAGGGAATTGAGCACTAACGCATGGAGTCTGGAAGACCTGAATTCAAGTTACTTAACCTCTCTTTTTCTCAGTTTCCTTATCTTTAAGATAGAGATAATAATAGCACCTAGGGTTGTTATGAGGATAAAATGAGATATTTTAAAAACTCTTTGTGACCCTTAAAGCACTACAGAAATGCTAACTAGGATTATTAGCTAAATCCTATGATCAAGGATGCTTCACTGATGATGGTGGTTGCAGTTGTCCCACTCTACACACCTAGGTAGAGAGAGCCCAGATTCAAAATATAGGTACATATCACTGAAAGCTAAGGAGATTTTTTTCCTGTTGACATAGCTGGTGAAATCCCCTTGGGGCGGCTAGGTGGTACCATAGTGCACAGAGCGCTGGGCCTGGAGTCGGGAAGACTCATTCCTGAGTTCAAATCTGGCCTTAGATACTTACTGGCTGTGTGACCCTGGGCAAGTCGCTCAGCCCTGTTTGCTTCAGTTTTTTAATCTGTAAAATGAGCTGGACAAGGAAATGGCAAACCCCTCCAGTATCTTTGCCAAAAAAACTCCAAAATGGGGTCACAAAGAGTTGGACACAACTGAAATGACTGAACGACAAAGTGTACTAGGTCTTTTACAAATATGATCCCATTTGGTCCTCACTACCCTGGGAGCAAGGTGCTATTATTATCCTCATTTTATAGTTGAGGAAACTGAGGCAAACAGAGCTTAAGTGACTTTCCAAGGGTCACATATACAGTAAGGGTCTGCAGATTTGAACTAAGGACTGCTTGAATCCAAGACTAGCCCCCTAACCACCGTGCCACCAGCTACCTCTAGATATGGTGCCAACTGCACCTTCTACTGATGGTGAGATGATGGCATCCCTCATCTTTCTATGTGAAGGAAGCCACACAATGATGTGTTCTTCCATAATCTAAAATTTCTTTTGTTTTTCTTCTGATTCTAATCAAGCTGCCCAGGTTCATCTCCCTCTCCATTTGACCTCATAGCACTTTGCAGACCTCCATTGACGGGGAACTCACTACTTTTTGAGGCATTCCACTCTTGGATTGTTCTAATTTGGGGGACATCAAATCTAAATTTGGACCACTGCAGCTCCCACCCACTGCTCCCAGCCTTTCGGGGACAAAGCAGCCAGTCTAGTGCTTTTTCCACAGGATAGCCCATAAGTACTTGAGAATAGCTGTTACACCTCTCCCCCAACCCAACTAAGGGCTCAATGTTGGGTTTAATCTTTTCCCTGAGATGACAGCTGCTGAATTCCTAAATCCTATTTCTTGCAGAGCAGTGTCAAAAACACAGAATCTCCAAGTTGGAAGGGACATCGGTGGTTGATTGGGTTAAACTGTGCTTGACATAGAACCACTCCCACAACATATCTGACAAGTGGTCATCCGACCTGGGTTTGAAGACCTCCCTGAAAGAACACCCACTGATTCTTGGGGCAGCCAAAGTCACTTATGAACAATTCTAGTTCTTTGGAAATTTTCCTTGTCAATCTAAAACTGGCTTCTTTGCAGCCTGCACTTCCTGGCTCCTGGCTCTTACAGAATGAGGCAAATTCTTCTTCCACATGGCGGTCTTGATGGCAGCTATCATATAGCAACCCCGAGTTCTCTCTTCTTCAAATAAATATTTCTAGTTTTTGTAACTACCCCTCCTGATCTCCAGTCTCTCCAGCAACCTGGCTGCTTTCCTGTGGCTGCTCTCTACCACATTGGTGCCTTTTCTGAAACATGTCACCCAGAATGGAACCCATTCTGACCAGTGAGAAACTGACCTTGCCCAGTTGTAAGTCAGAGATGGAGCAGGCATCAATGAAGGCCTGTGCGATGACCGAAAGACAGGCATCTATGTGGTCAGTCTTGTCAATGTCGAAGACAAACTGGGGGTTCTTCAGGATGTTGACCCAGAATCTCAGAGGTAGGCTGTCATGGAGGAAAGTGTAGGAGAGTGAAAAACAGAGGCATGGAGAGGCCTGGCCACCCACACCGTGCTAGTCTGTCGGCTAGGAGAGAGAAAAGAAGCCAGGGGATGAGAAAGGAGTCTGGGAAGGGGGGCAGCAAGGTTGAGTGTTTGATCTTTTTATGACAATGTGGGATTACTTAAATCTGGCTGATGAGTGAGACAGGGGTGGGGGTGGGGTGTATCAGGGCAAGATCCTTTCCCCTCCTCTGGCAGACAGCTGTGTGAGAGAGGCCCGTCCATCATGTCCTTGGACCACAGACAGAGCAGCCTTCATCACTGGCTCTACCAGAAATTATCCTCCCTCCGTGCCTGAGCAGACCTCCCTCCACCTGGCACACATCCCTTCTATGGATGAAAGAATGTGGCAGGAAGGTGGGGTTAGGAAGGACACCATCAGAGGGCCAGTGGGACCTGTTGTTCACTGAGAGATCTGGGAGAATCTGCCCTGCATCACCTGTTCTGAGTTACTAGCTACAAGGCCCTAGGGATGCCCCTGGATTTCACGGTGATCCTTTGATCTCTCTTCTCTTCAAAAGTAAGATGGAAAAACATCCTTCTGCCATGTGACTGCTCACTAGCCCAACACAGGCTACAAGCCCACCACCCCTTAGAAGACGTTTCATGAGTCGCCATGACTGTAAAAAAAAAAAATCAAACAAACCCATCACCTGGGGACTTTAGTCTTCTGAGGAATGAGCGCTAAGCAAGGCCGGATGTCAGACACCAGACACACAGGCCACAGTTGGACCTGTACTTGACAGCTGTCCAGCTTGGTGTGACCCGCCATTAACGTGGTATTGGCTACTGGCCTGGCCTTCGAGATGTTAGATTCTCCCGTGTCCAGAAAAGGGATTTGGCAGCAGATAGAAATCTGAATATCTTTGAAGTTCCTGGAGGTTATGGGATGTGAGAAGGAGGAAGCGTGGCTAGAGCCCTCCTAACTGTCTGCCCTCTCACAGATGCATTCTGGAGGTATTCAGGCAGAGGCCATTCTAAGAGAGATGCTCTGTTTAGTCTCCTGAATTCAAGGGATATTAGCTCTAGAGATGGAAGGCCCCTCAGGGACCACTGAGTCCAACCCTCTAATTTGACAGAGAAGAAAACTGAGGCCCATGGAAATTGGCTTTCCACTGCATCATAATGCCTACTACCTGAAGGAAGATCCCTGTGGCTGTGTCCCCTTTGCCCCCAACTTCTCCCTATAAGCACTGCCTAGCCTTGAGTATGGAGAAGGAGTCACTGGAGATTTAACAGGCCCTGATTGGTCTCATTCCCTCCATCTTAGACACCCAATGGTCACCATGGCAACAGGCAGGCTTTGACCCAGGTACTTAGAAACCAAAGTGGCCCTAGATTCTGCTATTAACCCCCCAGCACCCAATTCCTCTCAATGCCATGCTTAGATACTCTTCTACTTTTAATTAAGGAGTGGTTCTTCCCACCCCCACTTTCTCTCCTTCCATTGTGAATGCTCCTAGGGACTTAATTTAATCTGGTTCATGTTGACAATGATAAAAATAACAATGATGATGACGATGATCCCTGGATGATCCCACAGCTCTTAAGGCACAAAGAACTTCCCCAACCATTTGTGAGATCAGCAGGGCAGAGATGCCATTTACAAAGAGGGAAACTGAGGCTCATAGAAGGGATCACACAGCAAGGGCTGTAGTGGAAAGAGCAACGAACTGGGGACTAAGGGAACCAGGTTCTGCTCCCAGCTCTGCCTTGGAACAAGCTACTTTATCTCTCTCTGGGCCCCTGTCCCCATCTCTATAAAACAAGAGGGCTAGCCTCAATAAGAGCCTTGTTTCATGCCGTGGACCCCTCTAGCAGTCTGCCAAAGCCCATGGACCCCTTCTCAGAATCATTTAAAAAAAATATCTGAAGGAAAGGCTCACTTTCAGTTAGAGCTGAGTGAAAATAAAACGTAATTTTTCCTGTGGATCCCCTGAAATCTACCTACAGACAGTGGACCTCAGTCTAAGAATCTCTGGAGCAGGCGATATTTGATGTCCTTTCCAGCTTCAACAGTGTCTCAACCTCTAGCCAATTAGCAGCAGAACTGCAACCCAGGCCTTCTGTCCAGTTTTTTTTTTCTCTTGTGTGGTCTTTCCTCTCATCTCCCCTAGCAACTACCGCAGAGAAAGTGTGAAATTCCTCTGTGCTGATTTGTATTTCCTGGTTTGTGTACATGTGCATCCTCTCAGTAGAATGTAAGTTCTTTGAGGGCAGAGACTGCTTTGTTTTCTGTCCTTATGGTCCTTCTCTCCCTCCTCTCCTCCCCATCTCCCATGTCCCATCTAGTCCAGTTCCTGGGACAGGGTAAGCATTTAGTAAATGTTTGTTGATTAGAACTGCATTGAGTGAATGAATAGATCTATAAACTGGCCTGGGGTAGGCTTGGAGGGAGGATGGGAAGTAAGACAGGATAGTGGTCAGGTCAGACGAGATACCAGAACAGCATTCCCCTCAACCCCACCCTCCCAGACCTGTTGGTTTTCCAAATGTGCAAAGTGTCTGGATCCGTGATCCCTCTCTTCTCAGCCTGCTCTTCCAAGAAATCAAAGAAATACTTGATGGCCAAGGGAGGCTTGTCCTCTCGGATGCTGAGGATGGCTTTGAACAGGTCGTCGAGAAATTTCTGCAGTGTGCCCTGCCAAGATAACAAGTGTGCCAACTGAATCAGCCTGGTGCCCAGGTCAACTGGACACCTCGGGGGCAAAAACACATTTGGGCTTTAATGAGGCTCTGTTTGCTTGCCAAATTCACATGGTTTCGGGAAGAAGGGAGAGAGAATTGAAGGAAAGCAAAAATCTACTCTCCCCCCTCCCACCCCCTACCCCCTGCCGCCTCTCGTCTGAAAGCTGGGGCACGCTGATATAATTAGCATTTGTTTTAATTTAATTTCTCTTGGCACCAATGTTCTCTTTGACTACTTCTGGCATCTCAGGACACATCTGTAATTGTTTGGTACAGTAAATGGAACAGAAAACTCAGCCACGGCTTGCTGTTCTGATGGTCTCTCCAATTATAAAGAACATTAGGCAGTAATGTAATCCAGGGGAGAAACAAGGCATACCTTTTGTGATCTGCAGCGAGTGAGACAGAGCACTGCAGCTGAATAATCATACACTCTCATCTGAGGGACTTCAAAGCATTTTTTCCTCTAGCATCCTTCATATATTTCTCATGGAAGAAACTGTTGCATAAGAGACACTCCCTATTTTCAAAGCCACACAGGGAGGGGGAAAAACCCAACCCTCAGCCCAACCTAAAACCCTTCCTCAGTTACACAAGGTTCCTGCCAGTGGGCACCAATACCTCTTGTAACAGTTAGAGTGACATCCCTCAGGTTGCCAGAGTGTCTGATGCTTTCCAGAGGACTCTTACATCCATCACCTTGTTTGATTTTCATAAGCAGACTGAAGAAGACTGGGTGGGGTGCTGTCAGAGTGGTGGGAAAGCCCTAACCTTGTAGCCAGCAGAGACCTAGGCTCAAATCCTACATCTGACCTTTACTACCTGTGTATCATCTCTGTTTCCTCATTTGTAAAATGGGGAAAGGTGATCTTGGGATCCCAGATTTAAAGCTGGCAGGAGCCCCAGAGGGCACCTAGTCTACACTTTACCTTTCAAAAACAATTTTTTTTTTCTGATGAGGAAACTGAGCTCCAGAAAGGCCAGTGATTGTGCAAAAGTCACACAGGAATCAATCTATCAATAAATGTTTATTAAGTAGCTACTATGTTAGGCAATGGAGAAACAAAGACAAAAGTGAAATCATTTCCGTCCTCAAGAAGGTTACATTTCAAGGGAATCTTATGTATCCAGAGATACACACACACACACACACACACACACACACACACACACACACACACATGACAGTAAGTTCCAGGAGCAGGATTTGAATCCATGATCTCTGGATGTAGATACAATGCTCTTTCCAGTGTACCACAAGGTTGTTGTGAGAATCAAATGATATAATGGATAGAAAGCATTTGATTAATCTAGCTGGGCCAATAGGAAGATCAGCTATTATTATCTTACAGACAGAGTACCTGAGGTTCATAAAGGTGGTATGACTCTGCCTTGGGACAGAATTAGGATTAGAATCTGAGAGGGCAGTATCTGTCCATGATAACTGTTATACCTACTGTGTGCTATAGAAGCCAGGAGGTTTCATGGCAAGACAGGGGTTCAATGAGGGGATGTCTAATACATAAACCATCCCAAACCTTCATGCATTCGCATAAGCCATTCCTCATGCCTGAAATGCTGTGCCTTCTCACCTCCACACCTAGAAACTGCTAAGTCCATTTAAATCTCAGCTAAAGTGCCACCTCTTACAAGAAGTCCTCCTTGATGCCTCCTCCTTTTAAGGCTACCCCTAAAATCATTCTGTATTTACTGTACCTCCTGACTAATTGTTAATGGGAAGCACACCAGTGGGGGCTCATGAGATAGTAGAAGTATGAGATAGAAGTACTCCAGCACCTGGGGAGTAGCAGCTACCTAATCTGCCAGTTTGAGTACAAGTTTGGAGAGCAGCCCAGAGGAGGGTGATCCACTCCCTCCCAAGTAGAATGTAATTCCCTTTTTATTTTTGTCTTTGTGTCTCTAGCATCTAGCACAGTGCCTGGCACATAGCAGGTGCTTTAGTAAATGCTGATTGAATTGAATTGGCTTGAAACCACGTCAGAGGCTGAGTGAGGATTCTAATGGCCACACCTGAAGCATTCTAGCTCTTACCTTGGTTGACAGCAACCTAGTCAAGTAGATCTCAGGAAGAACCTTCTTCCTGTGGCTCTGCTTGTGGGACTTCTTACTCTCAATCAACTCATCAGTAGGAAGCACCTGAACAAACATGACAAGAAGAAGAAGAAGAAGCCATCAAACCTTCTGAGCTGGAGCATCTTGAGAATGAGCAGTGACATCAATATCAAAGGCCTAAGTTTTGCCATTGCCATCCAACCAACAGTGAGGATGCCCAAAAGATGAACTTATTCAAGCTCCTCTTTCTGCGGGTAATTCCTTCTTCACTCCCTCAGCCTTCAAGACCCACCTTCTTCTGCCTCCTCCAGGAAGCCTCTCCTCCTCCCCCAGTCCACGCGAATCTCTCCTATACCACTTCTAGTCTCTTTTGGTGGCATGGAGCATACAGTGGATTATATTGATTTTAAAAGAGAATATGAGTCCATGTCTCATCTCCTCAATTAGATTACACATTCTTTGGAGAAGACTGTTGTCTTAGAAATCTTTGGATTCCTCATAACTACCTAATGCTGGGCCTCCACCTGAGATTATTTATCCTATTTATCTCAAGATAAACAGATAGGTAGGTAGATAGACTACATATTAAGTGCTTACTGTGTGCCAGGCACTGTGCTAACATATACAGATTTGGAGCTGTGGGTGACCTGAGAGGCCATCAAATCCAACACTTCCCCCCATTTTACAGATGAGAAACTGAGGCTCAGAGGAATCAAGCCTTAGGTCACATAGGTATCTAGGTGAAGCAGTGGACTTGGTGTCAGGAAGACATGAAACTTATTAACTATGGTGACTCTGGACAAGTCATCATCCTTTCTCAGCCTCAGTTTCCTCCTCTGTAAAATGGGGATAATAACAACCCCTACCTCACAGGATAGTTATGAGGATCAGATAAGATAACATAGATAAAGCATTCTGCAGACACTTATGTACTATATAGGCAGCTAGGTGGCACACTGGATAGCGAGCTAGCCTCAGAGTCAGGAGGTCCTGAGTTCAAATCTGACCTCAGGTACTTATTAGTAGTGTGACCCCGCAAGTTACTTAACCCTACCTGCCTCAGTTTCCTCATCTGTAAAATGAGTTGGAGAAGGGAATGGCAAACCATTCAAGTATCATTGCCAAGAAAACATCAAATGGGGTCATGAAGAGTCAGACACAACTGGAAAATGACTCAACAAGAAGTCCAGACTCCTCATTTTACAGATGAGGAAACTTGAGTCACAGAGTGTTCACATGACTTTCCAAGGGTTCTAAGAACACTGGAGCGTAGATTTAGAGCTGGAAGGGACCCCCAAGGCTGTCAAGCCCACTCACCTCATTTTACAAATAAAACGACTGAGGCCTGAAGAGGTCAAAGTCTTGCCCACAATTACACAGCCAGAGATAGGATTTGAACCCAAGTCTCTCTGACTCCAAGTTCAATGCTCTATGCACAAAAACCTTGCAGCTTCCTTAGTCTGGCATTCAAGACCTTCCATAATGTAGTCCCAAACATTCTCTCTTTCATTGTTCCCTTTCGCATGCCCTATACTCCAACCAACACGATTTGTCATTCTCTGAACATGGCTCACATTTTCCAGCCTCAACACCTTTGATCACACCATTCTTTCTTTTTTCTTTCCTTTTTTTTTTAAGGCAATTGGGGTGAAGTGATTTGCCCAGGGTCACACAGCTAGTAAGTGTCAAGTATTTGGTCTGAAGTTGGATTTGAACTCAGGTCCTCCTGACTTCAGGGCCGGTGCTCTATTCACTACACCACCTAGCTGCCGTCCACCATTCTTTCTTGCTAGAATACTCTCCCCTCATCTCTGCCTGTCAAAACCCCCTGCTTCCTCCAGGAATGCCACTTTGACTTCCCCATCAGGAAGTGATCTCTCTCTCCTCTGATCACCGATGACAAGTGGTTCGTGTGTGCCTTGTGGTGCTCAGTATGGTCTGTCTGCAGTTAGTTATTCCTTACTCCCAGCCTTGGAGGTCTGTGAGAGCAGGAACCACATCTTCATCACCTCTCCACCTTCTCTAGCTTCTAGTGCACAAGCTCACATAGAGGAGGCATCCGGCACACACTTGCTGAGTTTGGGGATTTTCTTCTGACCTGTCATCACACCCTTCTCCCACCTCCATCCCCAGCTCTTCCTTAGGTGGGACAGAAATCAATGCCACAAGGTTCTATGATTTCATCATAATCTAGAGCTAGGAAGGACCTCGGAGGCCTCCCTCATTTTACAGATAAGGAAACTGAGGCATGCAGAAGTTAAGTGACTTGCCCTAGGTCACCCAGGTAATAAGTGGCAAAGCTGGGACTGAACCCATGTCCTAGAGCTCCATATCTGGTATTCTTTTCACTGTAGCATGCTATCTCCAAATTGCAGGCTGCTTTATAATTGTTCTTAGGTCTTTCCTATGTCGTAGACCTGGCTTTTCAGCCAGACTGTAAGCTCCCTATGAGAACAGAACCTCTTGCCTCCATTATGCCCTCTCATCCTCCATCCCTGTTGGGTCCTTTGGCAGGCCAAGGAAGCAGCAGAAGAAGGTGAGGGTAGAAGGGGAGTAGAAAGCCTTTTTGGGACAGTATCCAGGTAGCGAACTACTTCATTCACCAATGCAGACCATTGTGAAGTATGCCCCTCCCCACCAGGTAACCTTTCCTACCAGCTTCAAAGGAAGGGAAATAAGTCCACATAGAGAAAAAGGGATTTGCCCAAGGCTGGCCTGTGGGAAGGGGCACAGTAGCAAAAGGGCCCTTCTGCACATAGTTTTCACTTGTTCTCTCTGCTCTTTGCAGATCCCAAACCTCCGCCCCTCCTCCAACACCCACCACTCTTGGGGTGGGGGCAGGGGGAGGGCAACCCATGGAAGGCGGCGAGAACAAAGCGTCTCCCCCTCAGCTCCCTTCTGGCCCCTTGGCGGCCTGATCACAGGCCATCCGGCCCCCTAGACGAACTCCCTTGTCTGTTCAGACACATGGAAAGCATTCTCCCCACCCTGCCCCTGACGCTGCCTGGGGTCACAGACTCATCACCCCCTAATTAAGCGGGGAGAGACTGAAGTTGCCGCCTGCGCCCCATTAGTGATTCATGCTTTTTGCTAGCACAACAAAGGGCTGATGGTCCGGATGGCAATGGGGAATGTGTGAATGTGTGAGGGAGTGAGCCTGGGTGTGAATGTGTGTGTGTGTGTGTGTGTGTGTATGTATGTGTGTGTGCACACCCATGTATACACACATACAGAGATCCATTGTGTGTCTCTGTCACTCCTCACCGACACAGTCTGCTTGGGAGCTGGGCTCATTCCAGAGCGAAATTTCCTACAGAGGAAATGGGAGGAAAGAAACCAAAAGACGAAGACAAGACTTCTGGCCACACACTGAGCACACTGTTATTAACCTCAATTGCTTTTGGAATCTGATACTTACTAAATGAAAATATTTTTCAGTGTCCAAATCCTTCACTGCAAAAGAAAAAAGTCAAAACAAAGTATAAGAGAGGGAACAAAAGAAACGGAAAGGGAGGCTGGGTAGATTAGATTTTGCTCGCTTCAGCTACTTGTCTCAACAGTGCCCACTGCCTGGCTTGCCAGCCCGTAGAGGGTATTGAGGGCTAGGGGGTGGGGAGGTGGTATTTTTCCTAGGAGCTGCTCAGTACTAAGAGGATCATGAGATTGTAGATTCAGAGCTAAAAGGGACCTGAGGGGGCAGTTAGTCCAACACCTTCATTTTGCAGATGAGAAAACTGAGGCCCAGGAAGGCTGTGACTTGGCTAGGTCACACAGATAGAAAGCAGAGGCAAGATTTGAATTCAGGTCCTTTGACTCCACAGCCCATGTTCCTTCTACTCCACCAGGAGGTCTTTCCTTTGAGAAAAGGCAGAGATAACTCCTCCCCGTTGTGGGATGACCAACCTGAGGCGGGAGAGGACCAGGGCCATGTGGTACATCATCGGGGAAGTAGCTCTGGATTGAAGGCCTGGCTGACGGGTCAGGGGGCAGTTTTAAGTCTAGCTTTGGCCTCCCATTTGGGGCCACCTGGGGAGGGCTGAAAATCCCTGCATCCTCTTGAACTAAATCTCATTTTCTCTTAGCTAATGAATGAATGTGCCAACCGATCAATGAGCATGTATACCTACTATGCGCTATGGTTCTGGGGATAGGAAACCAAACATGAAATAGTCTGTGACCTCCTTCTCTCCCGACCTCCTTCTTCTCTGCACCCCAATACTCCGTTGCCCCCCCCACTGACAGCCTGCAAACAACCCTCTGTCCTCTTACCACCTGCTGTGGGTATTACCTTAGGGGCTTTATCGATAGCATATGGTAATAAGATCCCCCATCTGGAGCTGGAAGGGACCCCAGAGGTCATCTAGTCCACTCCTCATTTTACAAATGAGAAACTGAGGCCCCAAAACAAGTAAGTTGCCCAATGGCCACAAAGCTACTAAATGTCAGTGGCAGGATTTGAACCCAGGTCTTTGAAGCCAGTGCTCTTTCCACTGTATCACACTGTCTCCTCCTCCTCCATCATCATCAGTGGTAGTAGTAGTGGGATTGAGGCAGAGAAACCTCGGGTCTATTTCAAATCCAGCTGGCAAGGTCAACTCTTCCTCCACCGGCTCCTCCCCTGAATCACTCCCCATCATTATCAGTCTGTTCAGCAATAGCATGAGGTTATGAGCTCAGGGCAGAAGGGAAAGTGGTGGTCCTAGAGCCCAGGGCTTTTTCCACCCAGAGAGGCCAGGGCAGGAAATTACCTCGACTTAGCGTGCTGTCCTTCTTGTCTGTCAGGCTCATGGCCAGTGAAGCTCCTTCAGGGATCTGGGGGAAAGAGGCAAAGCTTTGCAAGTCAAAGCCTGGGATGGCTGGGCATTGAGCCAGCCCCCTGGGGTGCTGGAAAACCCAAATCAGTCACACTTGGCATGTGCCCATGGGGAAGCAGCCCAGAGACGGGCACACAGCCAAGACAGAGAGTCACATGGGAGGTGAATGATGGGGCTCTGACCAAGGCAGGGGAGATTAAGGGCCTCGAGGGCCAGAGCTCAGGGTGGGATTGGGGATTTTTGAGAGAGGGAGCCTGGAGGTGTTTGACAGAGCTCAGGACAGATAGGGGGGTTTTAAGAGACAGGGCCTTGGACGTGCAGAGGTTTTGAGAGGGGGGCCTGGAGAACCAGAACTCAGGGTAGGGTGGGGATTTTGAGAGAGGGAACTGGAGGGACAGAGTCCAGGAAAGGTTGGGGGGTTTTAAGAAAGAGGGTCTTAGGGTTGCAGAGGTCAGAGTACGGGAGGGGGGGTGTTAAGAGAAGGGGGCCTGAAGGGCTAGAGCTCAGGGGTTTTAAGAGATAGGGACTTGGGGGTACAGAGCTTAGGGCATGAGGCAGGGGAAGAAAAGCCTGGAGGGGCTTAGTTCAAAGCAGGGAAAGGGAGTGAGCAGACAGGAAGAAGGAGAGTTGGGGCTGCCTTACCTTATAATGTGCCAAGGTGTTGAGTTTTTTTCGGCCATCTTCTACTACAGAAGTGTCATCCAGGTCTCGTAGAATGTAACTGTGGGTGCTTGAAGCAAACCATTCTAAAGAGAGAGATGTGGGAGGTGGAGACCATGTTGGGGTTGGGGCAGGAAGGCTGGGGAGGTAAGGGTCAAGTTCCATTCTGACCTTAATGAGACAGTCTATCTTCCCAGCTCTTCCTTCATACTAAATCTAGGTTCCATTATCCTGTGTGTCCTTGCATTGCTTTGTCATTATTCTTATGTTTTCCCTGAGTGCTAGCCTTGGTCTTGCCTGCTGTATTATAAGATCCTCGTGGGCCCAGCTGCTTGCATACCTTTGGAATCATCCCACCCACCCCCACTCCCCCACTCCCCTAGTCGCACTTGCCCACAGGTTTGACAGTGAGCTCTCCAGGTGGGAGATTGTTAGGAAATGCTTCCCCAGTGCCTGAGGGGTCCTATTCCCCTCTTTAGAACCACAACCTTGGCTCTTAAGAAGCCCTTAGGACCCTTGACAGGCTTAAGTGGCTTCCTACTGTCTCTGATAGTGGAGAGAGTGATATTGATGGGTGAGCTAAAGGAAGACTGGATCAAGGAAGAAGAACTGAGAATCACAGTGACGGATGGGGAATTGGGGAAGGAGAGGAAAATGGGGAGACCACATGGGGAAGGGGCAAAAGTACTGGAGCTTAATCATTGAGAAGAGAATTATAGATTGTTAGAACTGGAGAGACTAGAGAACATAGGGCATTAGAGCCCAAGGGACCTCAGCAAATATCTAGAACAGGGGTTCCTAACCTTTGGTCCATGATCATGTTGGTTTTATTTTTTTTATAGCCATTTCAATATAACTGGATTAATTTGTAATCCTTGTAATTATAATCTGCATTTCATTTTATGCATGTAAAAACATGATTCTGAGCAGAAATCTACAGGCTTCACCAGAGGAACTGCCCAGGGTCCATGATACAAATGAAATTAATAAAACCTTGACCTCGTCCAACTTTTTTATTTGACAGATGAAGAAACTGAAGCCTGGAGAGATCAAATGTTGTGCCCACGGCCACACAGTCAGAGTCACAGAATCTCAGGGTCAGAGAAGCGACTTCTGTGGCCATCTAATCCAAGCCATACCTGAATGAGAATCTTCTTTATAACAAAACCGGCCAGTAGTCTTAACTTGAAGACTTCTAATACGAGGGAATTCATGACCTCAAAAGGAATCCTATTCCACTTGTGGATAGTTCTAATGGTTAGGAAGGTAGCCCTTATATGAAGCCTACACCTGCCTCTTTAGAATCATTACTCATCATTCCCAGGGATGCTCTTTGCCAACCTGAAAAAACTCAACGGCCCTTTAAAAGCACCTATCCTGTCTCTCTTAGGTCTTCAAATACCCCCAGTTCACCCAAGGGGGTGCACCCAAGGCCCTTCATCATTCTGGATGTTTTTCTTTAGCCCCCTCCAATTTATCAATATCCCTCCTAAAATGTGGTACCAGAAGTGGACATGATGCTCCCACTATGGTCCAAAAAGAGGGCAGAGTGCAGTAGGACTCCTACCTCTCTAGTGCTAGAAACCACCTTTTTCATGCAGCCCCCAATAATATCTGCTTTCTTGCCTGTGCTTATCACATGCAAGCTCACTACGCTTGCCACTCACTAAAATCCCTACTGCTTTTTTTTTTCCTGATAAACTGTGTTCTAACCACATCTCTCCCATCTTGTACAGGCAAAGCTGATTTAAAAAAAAAACTCAAGTGAAAGACTGTATTTGTCCCCATTATATTTTATCTTGTTAGATTCAGCCCAATATTCCAACCTGTCAAGATATTTTCAAATTCTGATTCTGTCAGTCAATGTGTTAGCCATCCATCCCAATTCTGTGTCGTCTGCAGATTTGATGAGCACGCCATCTGTCTTTATCCAAGTCAGGGTCCAACCATTCAGCTAGTTCCAAGTTCACTTAATTATATATACTCTTGTCTAACCCCTGTCTCACCATCTTTTCCCATGGTAATAGTATGAGACTCATATATTTCATCGAACTCTAGGTTAACTAGAAAGTGTCTCCACAGCATTTGCAAACAGAGTCAGGCCTTGAACCCTGGGCTTCTAATTCCCAATTGGGTGCTTTTTTCATCCATGACACTAATCTTGATCTGACACCAACTGTCTGTTTGTGTGATGTTGGGCAAGACAATTCCCAATCTTTCTGTGTTTCACCGTCATCATCTCTAGAATGGGAATGATAATAATTGTCAGAGCTAACATTTATATGGCAGTTTAAAGTTCACAAGGGCTCTACATATATTCTCAGCACCTCCCTCGCTGGGCTGATCATGGATGAAATCTAATATTTAGCCAGTAAAAGAACTCATAAAAGCACAAAGCCCTGACTGAATATTGGGAACCTGGGTGGTTCTTCCAGGGGGGTCAGCTGGAGGCAACTACTTGCCTTTAGATGGAGAAAAATTTATTCAGGCCTCTCCCCCAGCCCCAAGTCAGAAGACTTGGTTCAAATTCCAGAACGTGCCCAGTGTCTGCCTATGGTTACCATTTGTAAAGTGCTCACCCAAGTCAACCTCCTCCACTCTGGGCCACTGGGAGTAGGGGACATTCTTGCAGAAAGCCTCCAGTATCTTCTCCTTCACCTGAGTCAGCGTGTCTGTGTCCATGGCCCGGACACTCAAAGAGTCCATGCCGCAGCCCTGGAAGGACACGTTTAGGTTCTGGGGAGAGAAAAGAAGAAATAGGGATGAGAACCCTAGTAGTCATCTGAGGTTACTCCAACTCAGGCGCCTTCCAGAAGGCCCACGATCAGGTTGGCAAACAAGCTTCTGCTGCCCAGCCAGGCCTGCATCCCTCCCACCTGAGGGTCATCTGGGGAGCCACGAGCCTGACTAGGGGACTGCTGGCTTTGCTTTTGGGGGGGGTGTAGGGCTACTGATATGGGGCAAGGCCACAGACCTATTAGCCCTGTCTAAGACACCATGGCTTTACATCTCCCCCACTAAAGGCAAGCCCACCCATCCTGGATGGTTGGCCAATTCACCTCTCTGTGGCTCAGTTTCACAATCTGCAGTGGGGGTTAATACTACCAACTAGCTCACTCCTCCAGAAAACTCCTAATAAAACAGCTGGTCAGGACCTGGTGCAGTGACAGGGCACGTGAACATCTCCCTCCTTGGGCAGAAGGATAAACCCACCGTTTCTTGCTTTTGCATCTCTTTTGCCAGCCAAGTCCTTACTGAACACAGCCAGAAGGCTCAGACTCTAAGACTCATGATTTCAGAATTTAAGGGAACCTCAGCAAGCTGACCAAGATTCCTTTCTACCACCTCCCTGACAAATGAACGTCTAGCCGAGATGTCTTAAAGACCCCCAAGGAGCAGAAGCCCGCCATCTCCTGAGGCCGCCCACTCATCTTTTGTGTAATTCTATTTATTAGGAAGATTTTCCTTATAACACGGCAAAACTTGCCTTTCTATGACAACTCCCACTCATTTGTTCTTCTTCTCTCCTCTGGGGCCAAGCAGAACATGTCTAATCTGTTTTCCACATTATCAGCTTCTGAAGACAGCTATTCCATCCCCATCTAAGAGTTCTTTTCTCTAGATCCTAATCCCTTCAATCCAACCCCCATGGCAAGGACTCATTGCCCTGATGTGTATGACAGCTGGCTTATCAATGTCCTTCCACGTTCCTCCACCGAGCCCAACGCCGGATGTGGTTTGGGTACCTGCAGCTCTAGCTACTCTAATCAATCCCTTCTACCCCCAAAACCATTGGTTGGTGGGGGTGAGCTTCTTCCAAGGCACTGCTGGAGGGGAGTCGGGGCTGCTCACTCTAGGCTTGGCCTCAATGTTCTCCCTCAGCAGCCACTCCTCATTAAGCGTGTAGCGAGCCTTCCCAGTGATGGCATCGATAGATCCCTTATTGATCTGCTGTTTGATTGCACATAGGAGCAGGAAGAAGGGCTCACCCACGGTCTCCTGGGAAAAGAAAAGAGATTGAGGATGAGAATAGGGATAAACCAAAGGCTTCTCCTCCAGAATGAGCCAAATGGACCACCCACTCTCACACTCCAAATCTGAGCCCTCCTCAGGAGATCTTGGAAATCAGACAGATGAGAATCCTACACAAATATGTGTGCCTAAGGAGTGTCCTCTGACCAAAGACAGAATGTCATCCAAGTGTCAAAAGCAATTAGTCAGTCAATGAACACTAATTAAGTACCTGCTACTAAGTCGTAGGAGATGCCATCTTGCATTGGCAGGGGGAATTTCCTTATCTGGAATATGTAGTCTTAACTATAAGTGTTATATATAGTCACATATATGTGTGTATATATATAATATGTGTGTGTATACATATGTGTGTATATATACATATGTATATATATATGTATATAGTCTTAACTATAAGTGTTTAACAAATGCTATTGATTGACTAATTGATGGACACTTGGCCAACATTCTATCCTTTGGCCAGAGGACTGCTTTTCACCAAGACACCCTTCCTGATCTCCAGAAGGAGATGATGGTAAGTAATCAACTCATCAATCTGGTTTCCAAAATCTGCGGAATCCAAACTTGGGACCAACCCTACATTGTTTAGAAAACCTGCCAGAATCCTAAAAATAGTCCATTGTTTTTCAATCCTGCTGGGTAAATCGCTCATCTGTGAACACAGGGCCTGGAGTAGAACAGGCCTGAGGAACACAGTCACTTCCCCTGGGGCCTCAAACCTTTTGGAATTACCTCTGGGGAGCTGAGGGCTTCCCAAATGCCAGTGCATCCCTGGGCACCTGGACTGATTGGGCTTTTGGCTGGTGTTATTTGAGTCAGAGATGGGAACAGAGCGGGGTGGAGGGGGGGTGGGGGTGGGGAAATCCATATCCCTCATTTGTTTCAGTTTTAAATTGATCCTTGGCTGGGAGAGCCGGAAACCGTGGGCTGCGGCAAAAACCTGCAAAGCCCTAATCAAATACCCAAGTTTGGGAAGCAGCAAAGTAGGGATTGGCAGCTCCAGTGCTTCCTTGGATGGTTGCTGGGAAAACTGGTTTGGAGCAAAGTCAGAAACCTCCCTCTGACTTGGCCTGGCCGAGGGGAAATGTAACTAACCGCGAACCCTGCTGATTCGGCAGGGGGTGGAGGGGACTCTACAGGGAGAGATCAGTATCTCAAACGGTTAGTTCCGTTTTCCAGGACAGTTCAGGCTTGGCCTCTCCTCGCTGAGCCTGGTATCATCGCTGGGACCCAGGGGTTCTTGTGGGTCACCCAGGGGTCTGAGTGTAGCCAGACGCTGTCCCCACAATGGGAAGCCCAGGATGGGTGGCGGCGTTCGCATGGTTACTGGACCACAGATGGGACTCTGGGTCATACGTTTGGGGAAAGGTTTCATGAGCTGAAGTTGACTTTTTTCCCCCTCTGGTTCTCTCTAATGAGCCAGACATACTGTTTGGAATATTCCCTGGGGCCTAGCCAGATCTTTATCCTTAAATTTCCTTTACAGTAAGTGGAAGTTTATACTTATTCCCGAGGTCCCACCTCAATCTTCCTTCCTCTGGGGACTTTCCTCTTCTCCCTGACTCCTAGACTTCTTGAGCTAAAGCGGACCCTAGGGACCTTTAAAACCAAACTTCTCATTTTAAAGATGAGGAAACTGAGGCTTTTGTTTCCTTCAAAGCTCAGCCCAAATACCACCTCCCCGGTGAGGCCTTGTTCCTCATTCCTCCAGCTGCTAGTGTCTCTCCCTTAAAAAATTTAGAGGAGAATGAATTTTGTATGTATTAATTTTGTATAAACTTACATGTATTCATGTTGTCTCCCCCAAAAGAATGTAAGCTCCTTGAGGGTAGGGAATGTTTTTTTTAGTTTTTGTGTCTCTGGCACTGATGCTTTGCACATAGTAGGTGCTTAGTAAATGCTTACTAATTGATTCATCACCCAAAGTCATATACACAGTGAGTCAGTGTCAGAGTTGAGACTAGAACCCAAGCCTCTTGACCCCTGGATGAGTGTACATCATTCTTTAAAAAAAAAAAAGCTTTAGGGATGCTCTTTTTATTTTTTAAACATTGCTGTCCCTTCCCAATGTCTCTCTCCCCTACAACAGAATCCTCCTTTGGAATAGTTAGAATAATAATAATAATAATAATAATAATAATAATAATAACATTTAGAACATAGAATAAATCAACACTTTGGCCATACCTGACAACACCTGTCTCACTCCACACCTGCAGTACACCACTTCTCTGCCAAGGGACTGCATCATCCCCAGATGAACCAACCTTGGCATGGCCATATGGGCTACACTGGAGCCCAAGGTAAAGACCACGTTGGTTTGGACAGCAGCTCCCATTCCTGATGGGAAGCCATTGGCACCATACTCTCCTTCTTGCTGCCCCACTGGATTACCTCTTGGGATTCACAGTTTAGATTCCACATCTGCCTGTTGGGGACACCCCCAGATTTTGACGGACTCTTTGGCTGGACACTGTTGAACTAGTTGGTGAGATGGGCTTAGTCAATAAAGATTTATTAAGCTGCTGATATGTGCTAGGCACTGTGCTCAATGCTTTTAGTGCTTAGAAATAGTATTTCATTTAATTCTTACAACAACTCTGTGAGGTCCGTGCTATCATTATTCCCATTTTACAGCTGAGGAAACTGAGGCAAGCAGTGGTGAAGTTACTTGCCTAGGGTCACACAGCTAGTAGGTAACCATGCGACTCTGTTCTTTCGGGCCCTAAAATCAGCCAGGCCCCAAAGCCATAGCATAATGTAACTTGATTCCTCTTTGGTTCTTGAGAACCAACATGGTAGCTATCAGTATGTTGGGTGTCTGAAAGGAAAGTTGGAGGGCCCAGAGAAGCAGCCTTTGCCAAACCCTTCCCCTTCCACTAATGCTGGTTCACTGCTGGAGGGGTAGAACCAGTCCTGACCTGAGCACTGACAAAACCAGCTTGAGACATCAGCAAAGATGGAAATAGAGGAGCCCAGCAGGGACAGAGGGGGTCTCAAGGGTTAGGGTTCTAGCCCAGACTCTGCACTCCTGCATCTGGTCTTTCTTCATCCACAAAGTAGAGATGACATCCCTGAGTCCTCCCTACCCAACAAATTAGTGGTGAGAGGTGAAAGGAGAAAAGTCTAATGAGCGCTCAGTATGACCACTCACTCACAAAGGATTCTATCTTTTAGCCCAGGAATTTCTCCTCTCCTGCATTTGAGCCCAACATCTGGGCCAACTTTCCTTACCTGGAAAATATTTTTGCTGCTCCTGACTCAGCTGCATGACTGTGTGTTGGCCATGAATTGGTAAGTTCATCCCTGTGGTTCTCAGCACTCTCCTCTATCAACCTCTTGAGGACAGGGACTATTTTGTTTTCATGTGCTTAATAAAGGAGTTGCTTAATAAATATTTACTGACTGATCAATTGATCAGTTTGTAAAATGAGGGTATTAGATGATGAGATCTTTCTGATTCCTTCTATCTTTGCTATTTCATGATTCCTCCTTCTAATATATTATGTTCTAACATCCCTTCTAGCTCTAATATTCTGTGTTCTAAGGTTCACTTCCATCTCTGGCATTCTATCTGCTAACATTATACATTCCAAGGTTCCTTCCAGTTCTAATATTCTATGCTTTAATATTTGATGTCCCTTCCAGTTCTGACATCCTGTAAGTTAACATTTCTTTGTTCTAAGGCCCCCGCCTGTTCAAATATTCTATGTTCTAAGGTCCCTTCTCATTCTGACATCCTATGAATTAACATTTCCATGGTCCAAGTTCCCATCAGCTCTAATATTCTAGGTTCTAGGTTCCTTCAAGTCCTGACATCCTATATGTTAACATTTCTGTTGTCCAAGGTTCCTGCTAAATCATACATTCTGTGTTCTAAGGTTCTAGCTGTAAGGTTCTAGATGCCAAGGTTTTAGGATTCTCAGAGACTTTCCATGACCTAATATTATTATCTCTGCTCCAACTAATAGAAAGTCTAGCATCTCCCTCTTCTCAGAGAGCAGTATGTCTTCCATTTTTTCCTTCTTTCCCAAAGTGATGGGGCCAGTGGGCCAGCAGAGCACTAATATAAAACAAATGTCTGTGTCATGTTATATTAACTCAGCAGGCACAGCTCAGGGGCCTGGAATGTTTCCATTGTACCATTGAGGGACCCTGAAACAGCTGTTTCAAATAGATGCCATGATTAACTAGAATCACTTTGGAATGAAAAGCAAGCCCATCATAGTCACAAATGTCCTGTGAGAGAGAGAGCTGGCAGAGGCTGGAGTCAGGCGAGGCCTAGGGATGAGTGCAAGGTGAGAGAAAGCGGGTATTGCTGGAGACACTCAGCCTGGCTCAGCATTGCTGGAATTACGTCAGTGAGGCTGGCCTCAGTGGTGGGCCCTTGTCTCCTGGCTCCCCTGAGAAACTCAACGCTGTGGGGCACTGCACAACAGAATACATCTAGCTTGTTCAGGTGGGTGAGGCCACCAGCCCAGGATGTGGGGATCAGAGGAAATGCTTTCCCTCATTTTGCTGTGGTTACTGCTTGTCCCTCTTCCAGCGGGTATATGGGAATCTTGTTTGTCACAGTGGGAGATGCACTAAGAGAGTTTTTACTGGGACCTTTCCTTTCTACCCATCCTACTTTGGCCCTCATCTCAGCAGCCTCTTGGTTAGACTCCCAAGTTTCCAGGACAGATCTCGCCACATCACACTTTCCTGCTCAGGAACCATCCATAGCTCCCTACTACCTTTGAGATGAAAGCTGAGCTCCTCGGTTTGCATTTAAAGCCCTTCCCAGACTTATTGCCCATTACCTTCCCTTAATAGACTCTACCTTTCAAACCTTCCAAACTGGCTAACTTACAGTTCTGAGCTGGGCCTCCCATTTCCTACCTACGTGCCTTTGCATAGGCTATCTCCTCATGCCCGGTAAGCCCTCCCTACTTATCTCTGCCTTTTAGAATCCCTTCAGGGCGTGGCTTGTGGGCCTCCTCCTATGGGAAGCCTTTCCTGTTCCTTCTAGTTCTGAGTTGTGAACACTCTTCCTCCCTGTATCATCTTCTACTTATTTGTCCATTTATTTGTTTGTATCCCACAATAGAGTGTAAACTTCTTGAAGGCAGGTATTGTTTTTAGTTTTTTGTGTTTATCTCTAAGAGATGGCACAGACTAGGTACCATTTTAATCAGTGCTCATTGAATTAATTAATAACAGTGAACATTTATAAAATGCCTACTATGAGCCAGGCACTGTGCTAAGTGCTTTACAATTATTACTCTCTTTTGAGCTTCACAACAACCCTGAGGGGTAGGTGCTATTATTAGCCCCATTTTTACAGATGAGGAAGCTGAGGCTTGGGGGAGAGTCAGTGACTTGCCCAGGGTCATACAACTGGTAAGTGCCTGAGGCAGGATTTGAACTCTCCAAGTCCAGAGTTCTGTTCACTCTGCCATCTAGATGCCTTGAATGAGAAGAAGAGGAGAAACACAGGAATGAGGCCAACGCCTGGGTGGGCTTACACATTTCACAGCAGATTCTAAAGTCTATTCTCCTAATTCTCTTCTCCCCATAGGAAGGGAATATTGACTTTGTAGTTGTATCCAATGCACTTATATGGGCAGATGAAATAATTTCTAGGGAGTCCACTGAGATGAGAGAGAGGAGGCAGACACGTGGGATCAGGATTCAGGAGGCCTGAGGTCCCGTCTCACTTCTGACACTAGCCAGCTGTGTGACCTTGGACAAATCACTGCCCTCTCTGGGCTTTAAGGAGAGATGGGTCTAGGTGGTCTCTAAGATCCCAGACCCAAAAGACAAAGAACCACAAACTGGAGCTGGAAGGATCCCAGGACCAGCAATCTGGGGCTGGAAGGGACCTCAGAGGCTATCACGTGACCCTTTCATTCTATAATTGAGAAAACTCAAGCCTGGAGTGACTTCCCTGAGGTCACAGACAGAAGTTGGAGCCGAGATTCACACCCAGCTCCTCCTATTCCAAATTTGGTATTTAAAAAGAACAACAACTGCATCGTCTTTTCCTTCTTTAGAAAGAAGGAAACTGAGGCTCAGGAAAGAAAGTGAAGTGACTTGTACAAGGTCAAACCTCCAGGAAGTAGCAAACCTAGAGTTTGAACCCAGGTCTTGTGACTCCTGAATTCCACACTCTTTAAAGCTGACACCTATGTGTGTAAGCTTCTTTGTGTATATACAGGATGTGCCAAAAGTTTCAGTGTAGTTTAAAGCTTTAACAGCTTGAAACTATAATAATATTTAAGTTATTAGAGCTTAAAACTGCACTAAGACTTTTGGGACATCCTATATCTATTACATGCAACATAACATAATACAATATAACAAACATAACATATAATTACACATTATATAATTATATATCACATATAGTTATATATCATATGTAATTATATAATATATGGCTATACTATATATTATCTAATTATAGTCTATGTCTTATAAACAAGATATAGTCATCTATTATGTAATATGTAATTATATACAATACTATATATTATATATAATTATATAATATATATTACATATTACATAATAGATGACTATATCTGATCTGTAATTATATTTTATATATAACTATATGTACCATATATAAGATATAATTGTGTTATATTAATGTTATGTAATTATATATAATATATAGCAATAGAATATATAAGTAGTATATGTTACATTATGCTATATGTGTGTTTTGTGTGAGAATATGAGCATTTGTACAAGGGTGTGTACGTGGCTGTCTGTAAGTATACTTTTGCATGCATATGTACCTGAGTGAAGGGACATCTATGTGTGTCAGGGTCTGTTCCCCCTAGAACACAAGCGTTTTACAGTTTTGGCCTCCAAGGCAGGGCACAGAGGGCATACTCAACCCAACACTCTCTCTGGCTACTTCCCCCACCCCCAGCCTTCATCACCAATAGAGCCAATGTTCAATCCAACTTAAACCAGTTCTAGACCAGTTCCAGGTGTAGAGGTTTCTAGGGTAACAAGGCTGCTTATATGAAACCTGCTAAGTGCATCATGTGTAATGGGTCCTGCTACCATCGTGCCCCCCGCCAAAAACAAAAAACCAAAAAAGTGTATCAGTTATCACAGAGCCAAGCCTGGGACTCTGGCTGTTTTGCCACAGAAACCCGGAAAGCAGCCTGTGCAATGGGCCCCAAACTACCCATTTCTTGCTGAATGTTGAATTGGAGATTAGCTCTTCTCAAATCCCTAGAACAGATGCTTCCCCCAGGCTTCTATTTCTGAGGTTACAGTACTGTGGTATCATAGAAACAGTACTAGGCTTCGTGTCCAGAGACCTGGGTTCAAATCCAGACTCTGACACTGGCTAGTTCTTCCCCCATGTGTAGATGACAACCTTTCTGAGGCTCTATTTCCTCATTTATAAAATGAAGATAATAATAATAATTTTCTTTTTAAAGAAAACTGTTTTGTGACTTTTATTTTGTGACTCATCATCAGGAGAGCTAAGTTCTAGTCCCAGCTTTGGGTTAACCAGTTGAGCACATCACTTTCCTTCTCAGGGCCTCAGTTTCTTCCCCTGTAAAATGAAAGGCCTAAGCTAAATGATACTGAAAGTACCTTCCAGGGCTAAGATCCTCCGCTTCTACAAACTGTCCCCAGAGCTCAATGCTCACTGGAGGGTTGGAGTGTTCTGTAAACTTTAAAGCGCTATAGGTATTTCAGGCATTATTACTGATACCTCATGGATTAACAGCCACAATTCCTGACTGGTGGCTGGTGGTGGACCAGAGATGCCTCATTTGTGATTGTCTGAGATCGGGCTGTATCATTTGTGAATCTTCTTACGGTACTAATTTCATCATTTCTACCCCCCTGCTCAGGAGCGTTCTCCAGCATCCTCAGGATCAAGTCCAGCTTCTTTGGTCTGACATTCAAAGCCCTACATTATCTGGCCCCAGCCCAGCCATCCAATTGTATCTCCTCCTATTCCCCTGTATGAACCCTCTCTGCCAGCAGCTGATCTTTTCACTATCACAAAACAGGGGCCAAATCTGTGATTCCATTAGTGAAAAAGAAAGCTGGTGAGAAAACTCTTGCTACCAAATTGGAACAGCAATTGTTCTGAGGCCCGCAGTACTGGAGGGTTTCTGGGGACATGGGGACCTTAAATGACTTGCATGTGCCAGCATGTGCCAGAACCCAGGTTTTCCTGACCCTTTATTCACAACACACACTGCTTCATCCCACAACATAGACATACTGTGTTATTTCTCCACCTCGGGATGTTTGTGCCATTCAGAGCTGGAAGGGACCTCGTCAGACATCCGGACCAGACTGAACACAGAAGGAATCCCCCGCCTCTCCCAATAACACACCTGATGACTGGTTGTCTAGCTTCTCCGTGCAGGCCTCTGAGGAAGGGGATCTCCAAGCCCTTGAGGTGGCCCATTCCACTCTGGGGCAGCTCTAATCCTGACTTCTAAAGCTTAACTGGCCTCTTTTCCATCTTCCATCCACTGTTCTTGGTTACGTCCTCTTAGGGCCAAACAGAAGGAGTCTAATCCCTCCCATGCACATGAAGGCCCTTCAAACACTAGAATATAGCCATCATGACCCCCAAGCCGTCTCTTCTCCAACCTGAACACCCCTAGTACCTTTAACTAAATGTCTTATTAGAGCATGAACCTCAAGGCCTCTGCCACGCTGGCTGCTCTCTAATCTAGTGATGTCTTAGTGCCCACAACTGAACCTAATACTCCAGATGAGGCCATCCTTCAAGGCCTAGCTCAAGTCTTACTGACTGACCCCTCCAATCCACACTGATTTCCCCTCCTCTAGCTTTCTTCTCCGGCACTTATGGCAGGCACCACTATTATCTTACCCTGTCTCCCCTGCCATACTGTGGGCTCTTTAGGGACAGGGACCCCATCTAGAATGTTCCCCAGACACTTAGCACAGGTCTAGGCACATAGCTGGTACTTGGGAAAAAGCCTCTTGAATTCAATTGAGTTGGACTGCATCAGGCCCAAAGATCTTGACAGCTGCAGCAATTTCTACAGGCCCTCAAAGGAGGTTTGACCCTCCACACCGGGCCCTCTCCTGAGTGCTTCCATCGTGGACCCTTCCCTTACCCGCAGGTAGCTGTACATGCAGATGGACATCCAATTGGTGAGCATCTTCTCCACCACAGACTCCGTCCGGCGAAGCATCAGCTTGGGGTTTTTGGAGGCCGAGGCATCGATGAGGTCCACAAGCAGGTCCTTCATGATGCTGGTGTAGTATTCCAGCTTCCCATGCAGAGCGATGGTGAGCAGAGAGGCCAGGTTGCACCTGAGGGGGAGGGGCCCAGTAACTAATTCAATTCAATAGCAATGATGAATTATGGTGCCAAGCAATGGGGACACTGAAACTAAACGTCAATAATCCTTGCCCTCAGACAGCTTACATCCTTTCTTTTTAATTGCATTTTATTCCCAATTAACAAACATTGACTTTCTCTCCTTCCACTAAAGATCACTAACAATGACATCAAAAAACCCTCACAACAAACAGGTAGAATTGAGCAAAGCCAGTCTTCCTCGTGAGCCACAAAGGACAACCTTTACTGAGGGGAAGCAACATGCATGTAGGTAAACACGTACAAAACACAGGGCTAAGCATTGGACTCGGAGGTCATTGGTATAGGGAACTCCTGGAGGAGGAAACTCTCTCCCCTGATGGAGGTGGCCACCTTCTTTGTGATCTTAGAGAGTGCTTAGAGCGGAGGTGTCAAACCCAAGGCCCACGACAATCCTGAGTGCAGATTAAAGTGTAATTGGGAAATATTTAACAAAATAAATAAAATACAATAAAGCATAGATAGATGGTTAGAATGCTGGGCCTAGAGTCAGGAAGAGTCATTTTCTTACGTTCAAATCCAGCCTCAGACACTTAGTAGCTGTGAGACCCTGGGCAAGTCACTTCACCCTGTTTGCCTCAGCTTCCTCATCTGTAAACGAGCTGGGGAAGGAAATGGCAAACCACCCCAGTATCTTTGCCAAGAAAAACCCAAATGGGACCCAACTGAAAAATAACTGAACAACAACAAATATTACATTTTAAAATTAAGTTTATATGCAGCCTACAGGGATCCTTAAGTATGGATTAGTGACCCCCATTTGTATTTGAGTTTGACACCTTTGACTTCAAACACTGTTACTTGCCCAGGGTTACACCACCAGCATGTGTCAGAAGCTGGATTTGCACTCAGTATTTTTTAGGTCCAAGGCCAACCCTCTCTGCACCATGCCACACTGCACAAAACATATATAAAGTGAAGACAAAGTGATTTTGGTGGGGTGGGAGGGCATTCATGATTGCAGGGCTCAGGGAAAGCCTCTTGCAGAAGTGTCTAAGGAGCTATGCAGTCGAGTTGAGGAGGGAGACCTTCTAGGCTTTAGACAACTTGTACAAAGGTGGGAAGAGGAAGGTAGGGCAAGAAGAACACTGTGCACCATGCTGGGGATGATGGGATCTTCCATTGATGGGATGTGGTCAGATGTGAACTTTGACTCTACAGCAGCATTCAGGGAGCCAGCCTTCAAGGCTCGCTGTGACTCCCAGGCTAATGGCACCCAATGTCATTCACACTCCTCTCTCCAGAGTTACCTCCATGATCTCTTAGGTCTGGGAATTGACAGCATTTAAAGCTTGATGGGACCACAGAAAGGCAGGGGAGGGAGGTCCATTGTTATAATAATGATTATTAGCCAGGCCAAGATACAGGGTTACTTCTGGGGAGCATGAGGCAGAGGAAGGAAGGCTGAGGACTACCGCGGCTCGTCTCATGTCAGGGCTTCAAGGTGGAGCAGAGAACCGATCCCCACAGTTGCACTGACCTGTCTCGGACGGCGAAATCCTTCTGCTGCTCCAAAGCATGGACGAAGACAATGAGGAAGTGTTTGTTGCTCAGTAAGGTGGAGAACAAGGCAATCCCTTCCTCCATATTGGGCCGGCAGCTCTCGGGGATCTGCAGAGGAAAGAGGGGCAGCGAAGCCACTGCAGGTGGCGAAGGCCCCCCTGGCTAGCCTGCCTCCTCTTCTCCTCTCCCACGGCCACCATCTCTTAGCTCTGGGATGGCTGTCATTGCAGCCAGCAGTAAAACGAGGAGCAGGAGGTACAGAAGATTTCTTGGGGTACACTTGTGGGAGGAGGGCAGCAGGAAGCAGAGAAGTTAAATGCCATATGAAGCCAGTGAGACTATGCCAATGGATACCAATGTCACAACATTGGTAGAAAACCATATGTACTTGGGGACCTGGCGCATGGGCAAAACCCATCAGTTTACTAAGATGGCATCAGCCGTGAGTGTGATGGAGGTCTGGAATGGTGCATGTGCCAGACTCTCTTTGCATACAGAATTATAAAAGGCCTTAGTGATCATTCAATCTCACCACCTTCTTTTACAGATGAGGAAATTTAGGCTGAGAAAGGTCAAAGTGATTTCCCCCAGATCACACAGATAGTAAGTGGCTAAGGTGGGGCCAGAACACAGATTTCCTAACCATGAGGTATGGGAAGGGCATTGAATTTGGAGTTAGAAGATTCGGGTTCCAATCCAAGCTCCACTTTCACCTCTCTAGCACTCAGTTTCCTCATTTGTAAATTGAGTGGTTGGACCAGAAGATCCCTGCATCTCTAACATTCTGTGACTTTAAGACCACAGGGACAACTAATGTCATCAATTGTGTTGAAAAAGCCCAAGGCTGTGAAAATTCTGCTACCTCCTCACCCCCACCACGCAAGGTCACAGCTTGCCCAGAGCATCACCACTCCAACTTTAGTATGCAACTTAAGAAAGCCTCTCAGGACACCCCCCGCCAAGATCAACTGTGCAAAATATCAGGGAACTGTGAGGATGCTGGGGTCAAGAGGCAAAGAGAACAGCACATTACATTCCTTTGGAGTCGCCTTAAGAATGAAGTCCAGAGAGGTTAGCAATGTGATTGAGATCACACTGGTAAGGATGAAATTCGAACGTGGTTCTTCTGGCTTTGAATCCAGCAGGGACAAAGAGACAACAGGGATGATGCCACCCAGGGTAGAACCACATACATGCAGCAGTGAAACATTTGGTTAATGGAATCTGATTGTCATTAGAAATAATGATAAATGGGCTTGTTTTGGGGATGGTGGGCCATGCTAGCTGCTGTAAGTATGCTCTCTCTCAGGCTACATGTTTCCCCCTGCCCCTAACCCTTACCGGTGACCCACCCCCTCCGAGCATGATTGAGAATGGGAGGTGAGGGGGCTGAGGGTTGAGTTCCCTGAAATCCTGGGGAGGCCCAGCTAGATAAGAAGTCCAACAGGAAGGCTGAGGGACATATATCTCATGCCTTTGCACCTCTAAAGTCTCGAAGGGGGACAGAAGAGGAAATGACTGTCTGCAATGGAGAGGATCTGGTCCCCGGCCATGGGGCTCCAAGGTCTACAGGCAGTGGCTGTGTCTGGCATACTCACTTTCCACTCCCCCAGCAGCAACGGATGAGTTTCCTGGACCTGAGCTCCCCCCTGGGAGTTGAGCGGCTGGGAAGGCAGAATGTAGCACTCCTCATAGAGGGAGGAACACTGCAAGGAAAAGAAAACCAGGGGAAGGATGGGAGGGAGTCACGGAGTGGAAAGCCACGCTCCTCTCTGAGGAGGGAACAAAAAAAAAACCCTCCCTCCACCTCCATCCTCTTCTGGCCCTCGGCTGCCTCTGCAGGGCCTCACTTCCTTTGGCTCATGGACCTGGCCAGGCCCGCTCTGAGCCCCTGTGGCCCTGGGTACTTCCCCCATGGCCTCTCAGCCCTGGCTGGCTCTCTAAGCAGAAGGCCAGAGCTCCAGGCTGCACTGGAGGAAGGAAGTTCGGAAGGCTTTTGTTTTTCTTAAAGGATGTGTTAGGATACAAACAACCGGAAAAACTTGGTGTCTCTTTCCAGTGGTAATACTTTCCAAGCATTGGGCTGGGGGAGGGACTGTCTTGCCAGCTCAGTAAAATGAACCACCTGGAAATCTGGGAAGCAGCGGGGCTGCTTTAGCAACCCCAAATGAAGACTCTATGGAACCCAGCAGTTGGAGACTCCGTGACTTGGGGTATGAATGGCATTCTCCAGCAAAGACTCAGGAGTTTTCCCGAGCTCACCTTTTACCTTCCCAAAGGCAGATGGACAAGGCTATCATGGCCCAGGCAGAGGAGAGGGAAGACTAGCAGGGGGTGGCCACCCAATGGGGTCCCCAGGAAGACTGGGCTCATTGATGCCACGCAGGCAGCAGATGGCATTGCCAAATGGACACCAGGAGGAGGGAGGCCCATGGGCTGGATGCATCTCATCAACAGTCAGGGTGGGGTGGAGCATGGAAACTTGGCCTACAAGGGGTGTGGCCACAAACAGATTCCAGGTAGAAAGGAACCATCCACCCCAGGGATTTACCCTGGTGTTGGGATGGCTGAAGAAATATCTGGGGAGGGAAGATAAGACTCATCCATCTGGGGACCGGCTGCCTTCCCCACATATACGCCACGACTTTTTCCACTGGGCCATTGCCTGGAAAACCATGTAGTCCACTACAAAAGGGCATAAGCTGGGGAGGCAGGAAAAGCAGGAAATAACTTGGGTTCAGCTACTAGTAAATATGGGTAACCTTGGGCAAGTCACTTGACTACTCTGAGTCTCAGTTTTCTCCTCTGTCAAGTGGAGGACAAAAATAGCACCTGTGGTCAGGGTCATAGGCTGCAGATTTGGATTTAGAGATGAAACAGACTTTAGAGATCAGCTAGTCTCATTTTACAGAAGGTGAAACTGCTTTTCATCCATTGTCTCACTTCATCCTCTCAACAGCCCTATAGGGTTGGCATATTGTCATTACTAAGCCATTTGATAGATGAGAATACTGAGGCTCAGAAAAATGAGGCCACCCAGTTCAGGCATGGCAGATCTGGACTAGAACCCATGTACCTTCCCTACTCTCAGACCTGTACTCTTTGTACTGCACCATAAGGCAGGCAATAATGAGTGTGTTTATGGTTCCACGTCACTGGGGGCCTCAAGGAGGACTCAGGCTCTGCAAACAGAGGTGCTTCTGACCTTGGGGAAGAAAGTACGAGTCACAAAGTGCTTGTATTCCAGGAAGGGGATGCCCTGGCTTCGGTTCAGCTCCTTGGTCAGGTCTGTCATGTCAGTCTGCAGTTCAGCAAAGCCTGTTGGTCAGGAAGCCCAAGAGAGACGTGAGCTATACACCCTCCCATTGTGATTTCATCCTACCTAGCTAGGGCTGCCTTAGGCTTCTTCCCATTCAATACCTCCAGGGCAGTAAGGATACCTGGGGTAAGGGGGTACAGTCAGGGGCCAAGCAATAGTCTCTGAGTGTTCGCATTCCCAGTGTACACAGGTGTTCCAGGCTGAGTACTGGTCAGCCCTTGGGCATGAGGCTACTGTTGTTCTTAAATCATCTGGAATTATAGACCTGAAAAGGATTTTAGGGATTATCCAGTCTGACTCCATTTAAAGATGAGGTGACTCACCTAAGGTCATACAGCCAGTGTGGGGCAGAGGTCTATCTATCCTAACTTCCAACCCATTGCTCTTTCCATTAGACCCTGCCTGGGGTCCTCCTGACCAGGGGGCTTCCCCTGCCCAGTCTCCGTCACCTTTGCGGATTTCTTCACGGATCTGGGACTCCATTTCTTCCATCTGCAGTAAGGTTTTCTGCCAGTATCTCTCAGCTCTGCGGCTCTTGGTACAGAAAACAAACAGCCCTGGGGGAAGAGGAGGAAGGAGGATGGGGTCAGCCAGAAGTCCTTGGCTTTTTGCTCTGTGATCCTTTGCATGGAGCATGAGACCCTTAGCTAACAAGTCTCATCTGTCTCTAGGACTCAGGCATGGAAAGGGGAATTCCTCTTCCCACAGAGAAGCTGGGCATATTAAAATCATCATTGCCATCTCATTCCTAGCCATTCTCATAGGCCCTGTTCAAGCCTTCTCTGATCACCCCAGCCCAGCCTAATCTCTACTGAAACAGTTCATATTAGCCAGACCATTCACTTGGCACTTAATCTACACAGACTGCCTGGTGTGGTTATTTCTGTGTGTGTAGCTTTGTGTGTGTATGCATGTGCATGCACATATATGTGTTACACGTTCCTGTACACATGTGTGAGAATGTGTATATACGTGCTCTGTGTGTATGCAGTGTGTACATGTGTGTATACATGTTCCTGCGTGCATGTGCGCTTGTGTGCGTGCATGAATGTGTATATTTGTGTTGTGTGTATTTGTATGTGGTCTCATTACAACTGTAGGCTCTTTGAGGGTACAGGTTATGTCTTTTTTTTTTTGGCAGATGGGAAAAAATTTTAAAATATTTTTTGAAAGCCATGTCTTAATCAATCAATCAATCAGTAAGCATTTATTAGACATTCACTGTATGTCAGGCACTATGCCAAATGGTAGGATACAAAGAAAGACAAAAACACAAAAACAGTCCCTGTCCTCAAGGAGCTTACATTCTAACAGGAGAGACAACCTGTCTATACAACAAGTACATAGAAGAAACATGGAGAACAGATGGAAGATAGTCTTGGAAAGGCCCATGTAGCAGGGGGAGGGGGACAGGAAATGAGAAATTAGTAAAGGTCAAGTAAGGTTAAAACTTTTGTGTTAAAGCTTTCTTATGTACAGGTGAATACCAGATTGAAGCAGTATTTGGGGGACTACTAAGTAACTAGCAGTACTTGCTGTAAAGGTTAATTCCCTTGGGAGGAGACATCCACCTAGTAGCACTAATGAATTCTGCCATATTTGTTCTAGGAAATGAAGGCTATTAGGTCAAGCAACATTTTCTAAGTATTAGTATTGGTTCTTATATTTCTCCTACAGTGCCTTATATAAAGGAGGTCTTCAATAAATGCTTGTTAATTGAGTGATAAAATAATATTCTATATAGAATATCTTATACACTCCCAGAAAATTTATTTTTCCTAGGACATTGTCTGTTCATGAACCATCAGTGGTTCCTTACTGCCTCTAGAAGAAAGTCCAAAGTCCTTTGCCTAGTATCCTAAGTCTTCTACAATCTGGACACAAGCTAGCTATCTAATCACATGTTACAACTTCTTGGAGTCCTACAGTGGCTTGAGATGAGGTGGGGGTGAGCTGGGAAGAGGGTTGTATGGGTCAGTGGGACATGTAACTATGCAGGGTGAGGGAGTGAGGGGCAGTGCAAGGTGCAGGCAGCAGTGAGGGATGGTGGGGGTCCCAATCTCCCCAATCCTGATCCCATCCCCAGCATGAAATGGTCATATCTGAGTGTGCTACTGAGGATGGAGGGCAGACCTGGGGGCCCAAGGCCCATCTCCCTTCTTACCCACGATGGACAGGAGAAGCAGGATGCTACAGATGACGACGGAGACGGTGATGGCTGTCTCGCTCCCACCCAGCTGTAGTGTGGCAATGGTCTGGTTGAAATTTCCAACCTGGATCTGAGCAGAGGGAGGAAGGGAAATATGAGAAGCCCACAGCAGAGGGAAGGGGGGATGGGAAGGGCCTGGATAGCATTAACCCCAGGTGGGAAGCCTGCCTATGAGATGTGGGGGCTCTGGTGCAATGCTCGGGCACATAATCTAGCTTTAATCTGGGCCCCTTGGGCAGTCTGGTGAAGCCTCGGAGACCCTTTCTCAGAATAATGTTTCTAAATGCATAAAAATACCTAGGATTACAAAGGAAATGAATTATATTGTAATATAATTATCAAAATATTTTTTAAAAGTTCATGGACTCTAGGTTATGAACCCCCTCATGTTCTAGGGGAGGTCCACAGAGGGGGAGTGATTTGACTGAAGACACGCAGCAAAGTGAGGAGAAGACAGGGTTAAAACTCAGCCCATCCAGCCCTCTTGGCATACATCAGGATATTGTCCCTACTCTCCACCCCACCCATCCAAATCCTACCCATCCTTCCATCACAGTAGCTGACATTCTGCAGGCCTTAAGGAAATGCTTTGCATCCACGATCTCTTTGATATTCACAACAAATACGTGAAGTAGGAGAGGCTTGGGGGTGGGGTGGGGTAGGGTGCAGGGTTGGTCTAGCCCTGTGACTTTGTTGGTCTAGGGAACTACCAACATAGAATGAGAAGCTCCTACTTTGCAACCTACAGGCTCTTCAAAATATAATTTCATTTTATTTTCAGATCCAAAATCTCCCCCTCCTACCTTCCTTTCCTCTAGAACCTGCTACAAATATACATAGTCTATCAAAACAGCTCCTGTATTAGCCATGTCTAAGATAGAAACCTGCTTCCGGCTGCCCCCTGCTTCTGTCTGGAGATGGAGAGCACGCTTTATCAAGAGGCCGCTGGAATGGGGCTTGGTTCCACTGGTCCGACCCACAGTCTTAAGGGAGCTGCCCTGCCAGCCAGCATGGGGCAGAGCCAGGTCTTGCTTTCAGGTCTTTCCAACTCCAGGGCCATCTTCTTCACACCACAGTGCCTCTCCATTGTACAGATAGCCAAACTGAGGCACACACAGAAAGATTAAAATTCCTTGCTGAAGTTTACCTAGATAGCAGGTAGCCAAGACAAGATTTGAACCCAATTCTCATTTCAAATACATTCTTCTTGTCCATCTTGTACTGTAGGTATGTGTGGTGTGGCTTTGGAGTCAGAAAGTCCTGAATTCAAATCTTGCCTCAGACATTTACTTAGCTGTAAGCCCCTGGGTAAGTCACTTAACTTCTGCCTTAGTTTCCTCATTGGTAAAATGGGAATAATAACAGCACCCAGGGTTGTTGTGGGGATCAGGTGAGATAATATATGTAAAGTGTGTACAGGTCTTAAGGTGCCATCTAACCATTGTTATAGTAATAGCTGTGTCTAAGTTCCACCCTTTCCTGGAAGCCTTCCCAGAATACCCCCAAACTCCAGGGATCTTTCCTCTCTCTGAATTCCTGAACCTTATTCTCACTGCTTCATCTGCTTTAGTCTTGTCCACTGTACTGGACTGTAAACCCGCTGAGGGCAGGGGCTCTGTCTTCTCTGCCCCTGTCAATGCCAGCACAATTGCCCTCAGGAGTGGGAGTACAGCTCACTGCTTCCCACATGAGGCATTCAGGCTGTCACTGGACCAGGGAGACAGGGACAGGCAGAAAGGGCCACAGCATACAATAGGGGCTCCAAAAATGCTGACCCTTCCTTCCCCCACCCTCCTCCTGGTTGACTTGTCATACAGGGCCCTTCGGTCATGATTCTGCATCCCCAGCTTCCAAAAGGAGAGAATTCCTCTCATTTAACCAGTGCTCATATAAAGTTCCATGTCCAGCATTCTGTCAGCAGTGATTAAGCGCCTCGTATTTACAAGGTCCTAGGTTAGGCACTTTCCAGTCAATGTTGTCCAGTGTCAGGGTTCTATCAGTCTCCACAGGGAGGGCTCAATCATAGTGGATAGAGCTGGAAGGAGTTTCAAAAATCATCTAACTCAACTTAATTTTATAGATGAGGAAACTGCAACCCAGAGGGAAGTGACTTGTCCAAGGTCACTGTTAAAGCTGAGAATCTTTGGGGAAGGCAGTGCTGACTGCTTGAAGAAGAAGCTGTGTCTCTACAAGCATCCACAGCACACATGCTGTCTCCCTCATTAGACTGCAAATTCCCTAGAGAAGGGACTGTTTAATTTTTGTCTCTGCATCCCCAGAGCTTACCATAGCTCCTGGCACATAGGAGGTGATTAATAGCTTTTGTTGGCTTACTAACAAGCATGAGCATACTCCCAGGTTCTTTAAGACTCACCACCTAGACTGCCCCTCATGCTGGTGATTGAGTGTGTGTTCAGGTGGTGAGATCTGGATCCAAAGTGTGTTTGGGACAGAGAACATTGAGAAGTTACTGAATAAAACAATAGAGTCTATTAGGGAGAGAACAGAACACAGACCCATTGACTTTCTGAGTGTGGGGTAGTGGTTGAACCCTGGAGGACCGAGTATAAGGAAAAAAGGGCATCCTTTGGAGCTAATTCTGTGTGTAAAGCTACGTCACAGAGAATGGGCATTTGGGTATGGATCCTCGGAGCACATTATTCAGAAGTGTGTTTTGGGGCCAGGCTGGAGCAGATGATAACTGCCTGTGTAGGCCAGCTGGGAAACTTTGGGGTACTGGGTGGTACGCTGATTCTCATGGAAAGATGGTAAGTATTTGAATGGCACAGCTTTGAACCCCTCCTTGTCTCTGAATAAGAAAAGAAAGTCCTTGGGGGAAAACCAACAGACTCAGAGGCTACATGTGAGACTGGATGGGGCTATGTCAGAAGAAGCACCAGAGATGGGATTCTGACTCAAGTCCTCTTGAATCTAAATCTGCTCTCACCCTTTTGGGGGCTATAGCTGTGATTTCATTGTCAGAAGGAATGCCTGGTGACGAAACTCCCTCTACCAGTGTTGGCTGGTGCTTCCTTTGCCACTTAGAGCCTTGTGCCTGGGACCCAACGAGCCTTGGACCTCCAGCCCTGGAGAGGGGCTTGTGGCCTTTGGAAAGGTTGGGGGGGTAGGCGAGGGATGCCAAATCTGGCAGCTGGAGCCAAGCCTTCTAGTCAAGGGTTCTGCCTACCTAACTGAAGCAGCTCCCTCTCTCCAGCTTTCCAAATAGGAGCTGATCCACTCTTTCACTCTCCTGCTGGAACCAGACTATTCCCCAGGCTCCCTTAGTAACACCACAGCTCCGCACAAATGCCTCGTCTTGTTTCCTTCTCCAAGAAGCAAATTGATCCAGGAGGGCTGGAGAGACTTGGGCTGGCCAGCCAGAGGTAGGAGCCCATTCCCCCAGTTCCTGAAGGCATCTACCTTTTTTCCCAAGCCACTCCTCCTTCGTGAGCCTGCTTGACCCTCTCCAGCTTTCACTGAGCTCTCTCCTGTCTTTGTCCTGCTGGATGCCTGCACTAGTTATCCCAAGCACTGTTCATCTGGTGGCACTTAGCATAATCAAGCTTTTCCCCATTCACTAATTGTTTAAAGAAGGGTCATTCAGCCCAGCTCTTTCATTTAACAGATGAGGGAACTCAGGCCAACGTCTCTGGGTCAGTCAGGAGCAGAACTAGAATGAGAACCCAGGTCTCCTGACTTCCCAGCCCAGAATCCTTTCCACTCCACTCTCTAAGCAGGCCATGAACTTTTTGGGGTCATGGGCCAGATTTTATTTTTTCTCTTAAAGTAGAAAGAACACAAGATTTAGAGTCAGAGGAGCTGCATCCAGGACTTTGTTTGATCAATCAATTAACCAATGAACATTTATTAAGTGCCTACTTATGCCAGGCACTGTGCTAAACCACTTAATAACCAGACATCCTGGGACAAGTCACTTCTCCTCTCTCAAATTTCAGTCACATTACCCATTCAAATGCTTTAATAATAACGGCTGACATTTACAGAGCTTGAAGGTTTCCAAAATGGGATACATATATATAGAATATATAATATATACATGACATATATATTTCATTTGAGTCTCACAGCATATATAATAGTTATATATATAAATATAACTTATATAATATACAAATATATGAATATAATTATTATATATAAAATACATAAATATATATGGCTATATATAATTATATATCATAATTTATATAAATAAATAAATAATAGCTGGCATTTACAGAGATTGAAGGTTTCCAGAGTGAGATATGTGTGTGTATGTGTGTGTTACATCAATATAGGCTCAAATGAAACACTATATGTGTGTGTGTATGCACACACACTAACACACACATAGTTTAATCTGAGCTTCACAACAACTCTGTGGGGTTGGGGACAATTATTATCTCCATTCTACAAATGAGGAAACAGGTTCGAAGAGAAGTGAGTTAGGCAAGATTTGAACCTGGGGCTCCCTGACTCTGAGTGCAGCACTCTGTCCTCCCTGATTCTCTAAGAATAGTGCTTGTGTTACCTCACAGGGCTGTACAGAAAGCGCTTGCATCTTTTAAATGTTACAGAGAAGGGTGTGATTTTTTATGCTCACTCCCATAGCACAGCCAGTGGTCCAGGGCTCGGTGAGGAAGGGGACAGCCTCCAGCGGCCTGATTCCTTACCGAGCCCCTACTCCTGCCTGGTTGGTGGTACTGAACTTCACGCTGACCACTGCCAGAGGGAAAGAGGAGGACCTGGGTGGGACTGGGGAGGGGGAGCACGTCTGTTCTCCCCATTTCCAGAGATAGGGAAGTACGGAAGAGGGGTGGAGGACAGGGAAAAGGAGTGAATTCTCTTTTGGACATGCTGAGGCGTTGAGATGTCTGAGATGTATCCAGGGCATCTCTCCATTTCCAGCGAGGGCTTTATCAGCACCCACACACCTACGCACACCTGCCTGCATGCAGGCATCTTCAGCTGCTACCTAGGAACTGGCTCCTGGCTCCGGCCCCAGTGTGGGAAATGATGCAGAAGCTAAGACTGGGAGCCATAGTGTGTGCTACAGTGGGATCTCAGAGCTGTGCTTCAGAGGAAAAGTGGGGGGCACAGAAGGGCACCTCTGCAATTCTACTTCCCACCTCCCCCCACCCAGAGTCCTCCTGTTCCAGCCAGGCACTGGGTCCTCCCCAGTATACAGATCAGTGGGGAAGGAGAACTCTTGATCTTGGCCCTGGGAGGTATGAGCAGTGACTCTAAGTGCAGCAAACCTGGGTGGCTTGAGTTTCTACATAGGCTCATACATGAGAGACCCCAACCAGGGAACTGGAACAACAATAATAACTCTTATTTATATAGTACTTTGTGAAATGCTTTAACTATATTATCTCATTTGATTTTTCACAACAACCTTGTGAGATGTTATAATTATCCCCATTTTACAGATGAAGAAACTGAGGCTTAGAGAGATTAAAAGACTTGCCCAAGGTCATATAGCTAGTAAGCACTGGAGACAGGATTTGAATATTAGTCTTCCTGATTCCAAGTTCAGCTCTGTAGTGCTCTGTTTCTCAAGGTCAAAGGCTTTGCCAATAATAAAGTGACTTGGGTTGTCATTCATTATCAAGTTTTTCTACTTTCTAAACCAAGCTTTCGAGGAAAGATTGCCAGACTTGGAATTGGGAGACCAGGGTAGTAGGCCCAGCTTTGTTGTCACCATCTAATGAATTACATGGTTTAATTCCTCTCAGCCTCGGTTTTTCACATCTGTAAAATGGGGGCACGGCCACCTGCTCTACCCACCGTACAGAGCTGTTGTGAGGGTTTGATAAAATAATGAACCTAAAATGATTTGGGAATTCTAAAGTGCTTGCCATGAATTTCCTGGCCTGTCTGGTGTCCACTCCCAAGCTGTCTGACCACTCTTCAGGCTCCCTCACTGGTCATTATCAACCTCCTATGCCTTAAGCATGAGTGACACCCCCATCTCCAAGCCTCAAAAAGCCTCTTTTTTCTTCTCTTTCTCTATCAGGGGTTCTTTGGCAAGTCTGGTGGAACCTTCTCAGAATAACGTTTTTAACACACCAAATAAAATGAATTGGATTCCAGAGGAAATCAGTTATATTGGAATACAGTTATCAAAATGTTTCAATAAACAAAGTCATGGGCCCTGGGTTAAGAACCTTGGTTTTACACTATAGTGACTGTTGATCTCCCCACATCCACATTGCCAGCTATCTCTATTCAGATGATTCTCCAATCTATATATCCAGCCCTCATCTCCTAAACGTTCCCAAATTACCTGCTAGCCATCACTACCTGGATTTCCCATCAGCCTCTCGAACACAACATGCCTCAAAGGAAATCGATTCTCCTCTTTCTTCTGTCCAAAATCCCACCATCCACCTGGCTCCCAGGTCCCCAGCCTTGTATTATCCTTGGCTCATCACTCCCCACCCACACTCCAGTACCAATTAGTCTCCAAGTCCCCTCGAACCTCAGCTACCTCTCACATCTGCTTACTTCCTCCCACTCACACGCCAGTTCAAGCTCTCATCACCTCTCGTCTGGACTATTGCAAATAGCCTCCTAATGGGTCTCCCCGCTTCTAAGAGCTCCTTTCTGCAATCAATTTTCTGCACAGCTGCTGAAATCATTTTCTTCCTAAGGCCACGGGGTTAACTATGTCACTGCCCTGTGCAAAAACTTCCCACAGCTCTCTCCTGAAAATCTCTCCAGGCTGACATTGTAGGCACCCCATAGCCTGGCTCCAATTTACCTGCCCAGCTTTAGTGCATGTCCTCACTCCTTCTCACTTCCTCTCCGTTCCAGCCACATCAGTGGACCTGGCGTTTCCCCACCTCGACACTTTCTCTCCAGTTCCTCCGCATTCCCCTGAGTCGCTCCTTTTCTCTGCCTCCCAGAATCTTTCCCTTCCCTCCTGGGCTCAGTTCAGGGGATACACACTTTGTGATGCCTTCCCTGATCTGCCCCAGTGGCTTGTAACTCTTCCTCTCCTGAAATTACCCTGGATGCAGTACTGTTCATGTTGAATCTTCCCAGTAGAAAGTAAGCTCCCTGAGGCCAGGCATTGTTTTTCCTTTTCTGTCTTTGTATCTCTAGTGCTTAGCACAATGCCTTGCATACAGTGCCATTATTGCTGAGTCATTTCATTCCTGTCTGACTCTTCATGACCTCATTTAGGGTTTTCTCGGCAAAGAGACTAGAGTGGTTTGCCATTGCCTTCTCCAGCTCATTTTACAGATGAGGAAACTGAGGCAAACAGGGGTAAGTGACTTGCCCAGGGTCACACAGCTACTAAGTGTCTGAGGCAGGATTTGCACTCTGCCTTCTTCACTCCCCATCCAGTTCTCTATCCACTGTGTCACCTAGCTGCGAAGATTTTAACCCAAATCTTCTGACTTCAAATCCACTGTTCTTTCCACTAAGCCATACACCCTCCTTTATACAAATAAGGCAACTGAGGCACAGAGCTTTAAAATACCCTTTCAAGGTCACACACAGAGTGAATCAATGAGGTTAGGCTACCTGCATGTGGCAAAGAAGGAGAACAGGAAGAAGGTCCCTCAGGCTCTGTTCCCAGAGAGATGTCATGGCGCCCGATGGAAGGCAACAAGGAAGCAGTGTGAGGGCCTAGGGAGGGGAGACCTGGACATCTGTGCTCAGGGTGAAGACACACCACATTGATAACAACTGACCAATGAGAATGATGACAGAGATGTGAGCTCTCTGTCTGTCTCTGTCTCTCTCCTTCTCTCCTGTACTTTGTGCCTCAGTAGGCCCACTCAGAGCTGCACCAACACCTCCTCCACTCCCGAGATGACCAGTAGGAAAACCCCAGTCATACCGTAAGATTCCAGACACCACAGGATCCCAGAGGCAAAAAGCACTCAGCACCCAGGCAACTGTCCTGGCTGTTCCTTCTCCAACCCAGGCAACTCATGCATTTCGGGGAGCAAGTAGGGCATTAAAGCCCCTGTTGGGAATGGGTACCCTGGCTTGGGGGCAGGGCTCCTCACGGAGAGGTCCAGGATGAAGAAGGGACACTCGTTCTGTCTCTACCTTTGGTAGGCAGGCATCAATCTCACAACCCAACCCTCCCCACCCCCATCCCCCCTCCCGCCATCAAAGTTGCTCTGAGTATCGTGGTCTCCCACTCCTCTTCTAGGTCAAGGACTCACCGTGATGGGCAGGTGCCCTTCTGAGGTGCTCAGCGACTCGTTGACTGAGCAGTGAATAACTCTGTCTGAGACAATCTGGATCTCACAGGATGTCTGGCCAATCTTCACTTGATACTCTTGACACTCCAGACCCAGGTTGTCCTGCTCTTTCTGATTTAAGGAAGGAAGAGGAGAAGGGCAAAAAGAGGGAGAGAGAAGAAGAGAAAAGAGAGGGGGAGAGGACAGAGAGGGAGAGAGGGAAGGAAGAAGGGAGGGGGGAAGGAGAGAGAAAGAGAGTTTTTTACACATTTAAATGTAATAATAAATACTAAATAAATATTTATTAAATAGATACAATAAAACTTTATTTAAAGAGGAGAAATCATCCTTAGCTCACAGGCTGTATAAAACCAAGCAGGGGCTGGGTGTGGCCCAAGGGGTTGGAGTTTGCTGACCCCCTAGCCTAGAGCACTGAGAGGTTAAGGGACTTGCCCAGGGTCACACAACTCAGGATGTGTCTCAGGTAGGACCTAAATGCATCTTCCTGGCTCCAGAGTCATCTCTCCATCTACCACATTGCACTCTTTCTCTTAGTGCTATAAGGGATCTTAAAAATCAGAGGATCACAGATAAGGTAGGAAGGGATTTTAGAGATCAGGTAGTCCAATCCCTTAATTTTACAAAAAAGGTAAATAAGGCCCAGGTAGAGGAAGTAAGTCACCCTTGGAACTGAGGGAGACTTCACCTTGTCCAATCCCTGCTTTCCAGGATGAAAGGTATTAGTATGCCCATTCTATAGATGGGACAACTGAGACCCAAAGGGTTTAAGTGACTTTTCCAAGTTCTTGCTGATTAGAGGCAGGACTGGCCCCACAAGCCCAGTGTGTTCTGACTTGAGAAGCAGGAGAAAGCACACACTCCCTCCAGAATTAGAAGAACTGAGTTCATATCCTGCCCATAATACTTACTGCCTTTGTGTTAGTCACTCGGTCCCTTAGCCTGTCTGGGCCTCAGTTCCCCCATCTGTAAAATGAGGGGGGGTTGGACTACATGGCCTCCCCAGTTCCTTGTTGCCCTACATCTAGAATCCTAGGATTCAACTGAGTCGTAGGCTCCATTAGGCCTTGCCCTCTGAGTCCCCTATGGTCCAGCCCCTGGGTCAGTCTGAAAGCCTCCCCTCCCCTCTTCCCTGTTCCTCTTTGCCTGTTTTCCCGCCTCTTAGACTTTGCCCTGTTTTTTTACCTCTTGGCCAGGTGGGATAAGAAAGAAATAATACCCTTGTCCTCCCTTTATGGTGAGGAACCGAGAACCCAGCCTGATGGACCTTGGGCCAGCCAAAGAATAAGCAGGCTGGGAGCTGGCAGGGGCAGCAGGGAGCTCTGGCTTCCTCGTTAGGACCAACTCCAACCCCTGTGCTCTCTCCCCCTCTCATGGTCTTGTAGAATTCCTTGGCTTTTCTGTACCAGCCAGCTGGCGCCAATGTGGGCACCACATTTGCTGGGGGGCAGTTTCCACAGTGAATCTCTGCCCCTGGCTAGGGTGTCTATGAAGGTCTGGTATACAGGTAGGGGTGCACTCCAGAAGAAGCCCTCAACCTTCAGGGGCTGCCTGGGTCTGGTCACTCCCTAGGACTGTTTCTGAGGGCCTCACGGTGACCCTTCACCCAACCGCAGCCTGACCCTTGAGTCAGGCTGGGAATTGACTCTAACCCCAGGCTGGTCAGAGGACAAATCTATGCCATCTGTTCTCTAGGAGGGCCAAGCAAGAGAGCGTGGCCATCCCCGCTGTTGAGCATGTGTCCTGCCAAGGGGAGGCCGAGCATTGCCCTCTTTGAGGAGGCAAACAGCTCCTGCCAACTATAGGGGTCATGGGGCAAAACTAAGGATTCTGGGTGTCTTGAAGGGGGTTACTGTTCTGGTAAAACAATGGTGTGGGAGCTAGTTTTCCTCTCTAGCTGAATATTTCAGGCTCTGGACTCCTTGAAAGGATGACAGGGTCATTCGTCTGGAGCTTGAAGAGATCTTGGAAGTCTAAGAACCAGAAAAAGAACTGATGTCTAAGGAAATGATTTGTCCAAGATCACGCTTATAAAAGTAAGAGTCAGAGCTAGTTTCCTCTGAATCCAAGTTCTGGGGTCCTTCTGCCACCAGCGCCCTCCTCTTCCTCCCTATTACCACTACTACTATGCTCCTCTCCCTTCCCCTTCCTGTGGGCCGTATCATTGCTCACATGGATGACCAGGGTGAGAGGCTCCCCCGGATGGTGTTTAATCCATTTCTCCCTCTTGGCAGTGGAAAACTGGGGGTCAGGCAGATACTCCAGGCTGAACCTGCTGCTGGGAAGCATATTCTTTGGCTCTCCAGGGTCTTCCATGGCCACCTGCTCATCCTCGTAGGGTTGCCCATTAATGAAAAAGTTCACGGGTGCTGACTTATTGGCTGTGGCACCAGGGGAGGGGCAGGTGATGAGGGTGGAATTAAGAACCTTGCAGAGCTGAAGGAGAGACAGAAACAGGTCAATACATTGGTGGAGATAGGGAGGGACGGGGGAGAGAGACGGGCAGCCAGAGTGACAGAGATTGGGAGACACACAGAGGCAGAGAAAGGTGCAAGGACAGAGACACAGATGTCAAGGCAGAAAAAGAGATAGACACAAGAATAAAGACACAGAGGCTAGGTTGGAGAGACAGAGAGAGACACAAGGATAAAGACAGACATACCAAGATGGAAAGACAGAAAGACGGAGGCAAAGAGAGAGAGAAAGGAACATAGAGGCAGATAACAGAAATAAAAACAAAAAGGAGACAGAGACCAAGGGGAAGAGAAGGTCTGGGTCAGCAAAGGCTCTGGGCACCCGGGTCTGTTGCTCTGGCGGCCCTCAGTCAGAGGCAGGGTGGCAAAGAGGCAGTGACGTCTTTGGGCTGGGAAAGATGGATGCCAGTGGAGACCACTGATCACACCCATTTGTCTCCCAAGGGCTCCATCTCCCCTCTCTGGGGCACCATCCCCCACACAGAGGAGGAGGATGGAGCCATCTTCACTCAGCCCACCCTGAAAGCCGCCTGGCTTTTCTCACGCTTCCTCCTTGACGAGAAAAACTCACTCTCCATCTGTCCCTTCCCTCCCCCTCCCCGCCTCATCGCTCTGTGTTCCTGGTATCTATGTCTCAGTCTCCCTGCCCATGATCTCCCCTACTCTCATCCCATTTCTGCTGGAATCCCTCCGTTCTGCCATCCACACTCCCACCCACCCCCAACATCTCCCACCTCCTGGCCTTTTTGACTCACCGTCTGCTCCTTGCCAATGTGATTCACCATCATGGACACATTCTGCACCATGTCGAACCGACTGCCCTCCACAGTGATGGTCCTCCCTCCGCTGAGCAGAGAGAGAGCAGGGTTTCACAGATGGGGGATGTCCAGACAGGGACAGTGCAGGAGTGGGGAGAAGAGGGACAGGAGAGACAGTGATGGGGGTGAGATGGGCTGGGGTAAGCAATTACAGTGGCACCCCAGATTTAGAATGAATAGCAGTACTGCCTAATGGATAGAGTACTGAATTTCAAGTGGGAAAAACCGGGCTCCAAATCCCATCTCTGACACTTAGCCGTATGACCCCTGGGTGTTCTCTTTGGTTAGGCTGCTGGAAGAACTGAGTTTGAATTTGGCCTCAGATACTTAGCTGGGTGACCCTGGGTAGGTCACTTAACCTCGGCCCCAGGTCCCTGATCTGTAAAATGTGGGTGTTAGACTATGATGTCTGAGGTTCCCTCCCACTCTAAACGTAGGACCATACATGCTGATCTGGGGCTTATTAAGTTAAGTGTGCAAGAGAGAAGAGAAATCAGCAGCGTCCTAAGGCAGTCCTGCCCATCCTTCCCTCCCCCACAACATCTGTGCTGTCGTCCATCCCGGCAGACTCCCTCTTCAGGCAGGGCTGCAGAGGGAAACCTGTCAGCCACACCATTGCAGTGATCAGTAGGCTTTCTACGTGGAGGAGCTTTTATTTCAATGATCTAAGACTCTTCCTGCCCCTGCTCCAGCCAGCTGTCGGAGCCTTCCCCATCTTTGTACACATCCGATATCTGCTTAAGTTTCTACATGTTTCTTCTGAAAGAATGAAGGAAGCAACTGTTTCATTGTTGTTTTTGTATCCACAGGAACTAGCAAAGTGCCTGGCACATAATAGGTACTTAATAAATGCTTATTTCTGGATTGATTGAATTCTTACAACTACCTTGTTGTAAGACAAGTCTCTTCCCTCCTTTACAGATGACAGAATTGAAGGCCAGAGCTGTAATTGGGCCTGAGGCTGCACAAGGAGTTCGTAGCAAAGACAGGACCATGGTCTGGGTTTTCTTCTCTCCCTCCCTTTCTCCTTTCCTTCCTTATTCTCTTCCTTCCTCCCTCTTTCTCCCCCTTTGTCTCCCTCCCTCCTTCTGTCTCTCCATCTGCATCTGTCTCTTTCTCTCCCTCCCTCTGTCTCTGACTCTCTCTTCTCCCTCCGTCTCTCAATCTCCATCTATGTCTCCTTCTCTCTCTCCCTCTGTCTCTCCATCCCTATCTCTCTTCCCCCTCCCTCTGTCTCTCTGTCTCCATCTATCTCTCTTTCCCTCCCTCTGTCTCTCCATCTCCATTGATCTCTTTCTCTCCCTCCCTCTGTCTCTCAGTCTCCATCTATGTCTCCTCTTTCTCCCTCTGTCTCTCTGTTCCTGACTATCTCTCCCTCTCTCTGTCTCTCCATCTCCATCTGTCTCTCCATCTCCATCTGTCTCTTTCTCTCCCTCCCTCTGTCTCTGTCTCTCTCATAAACTTTATTTTAGAGGACTGCTGAAGAAAATTCCTCTCTCAACACTGACCGTGCTACCGACAGTCTCAGAGGGTTGTCTGGGGCTTTGAGAGGGGAGCTGCTCTGTCTGGGTCCCCGAGCTAGTGTGAGGCCAGGCCTCTTGGCTTCAGAGGGGCTGCAATACTTCTTCAGCCAGGGCTTTCCCTGGCCCCCCCCTTCTCTCCACATAAGGAATAGGATTAAGGTGACCGGCTTAAACATTTTCGGGGATGTTGGCACTGCTGAATTTTAATACTACTCAGCTGCACTGATTCTTTGACATGGTATCTTATGAGATCAGAGCTAGTAATTATGTGATGCGAATTTATGCTGGCAGGATAAAAATGAAATGGAAGGGGGTGGGGGTAAGGGAGGGTAGTGGGATGGGGAAGGCTGGAGCGGGGCTCACCTGACCGGGCTCTTTCTGGGACTGATGGCTGTGATGACTGGGTCCCTCATGTAGTCAAAGGTGATGTTGCTGTTCATGCAGGATTTGTGCTCAAAGCGCACACAGACACGGACGGTGGCAAGCAGCTCTCCTCTTGGCATGGTGCAGGTGATGGTACTGTCTGTGCGCCTGTGGGAGGGAGGCCAGGGCTTCTGAGTGGCTGGATACTGAGCAAGGCCTGGGCAGAGCTGGCCACCACACTACTAACATCACCTTCTCTCTACTGTTCCCAGGGTCTAACCCGATCCAGCCTAGGGAGAGCTGCTGAATCGGGGGTGAAGGGAGCACCATGTTTGGGGCAGCTCTGGAAAAGCAACAGGATCCCCCTCCTCTCCTCCCTATTCCTAATCTTAGACCCCATCACCTCATACCTGGGATACTAAAGCTCAAGTCCCTGCCACTGCCCTCTCCCACTGAGCCACCCTGCCCATGATGCCACCCCACTAATCTCCCTAGAAGAGCCCTTTTTGTATTGTAAATTCCTAGTTTGAGAGTCTCAGTGTTGGTCCGATGCCTACTGCATCAAATCCAACCTCCTCCTCCTCCTGGCATTTGAGACTTTCCACAATCTGGCCCTCTCTTACCTAGCCAACCTTATCCTTCCTTCTCTCTTCTTTGATTCAGGCTAGGTTCCTCCCTAACTTCCAACACATTCTCATTTCCATCTCTGTACCTTTGTTCACTGCCTTCCCCCTTCTTTCACTCATCCAAATCCTACCCAGTTTGTGTTCCTCCTCTTCTACGAAGCCTTCCCAGATTTCCTCAGCCTACAAAGCTCTTCCTCTCCTCTGATCTCCTAATGGCATTTCTGCCCCATACGAGATTGCAAGTATCTAGAGGTCTCCCTAAGTGCCTAGCATAGTGCTCTGAAATTGTATTGTCGTCATGTAGAGTAAGCGCAGGAGCTTATCTTAGCTTCTAGACTACAAGCTTCTCGAGGGCAGGCATGGTGCTTTCTTCTTACCAATGTCCTATACACACAAAACACAGGGCATGGAACATGAGAGGTATTCAGTACAGCTTGGTGAGTCATTGAAAGCCACTGGGGAGTAGCCAAAGAATGCTCAGCACAATGCATTGCACGGGCAGGTACTTAATGAATGTTTATTGATTGAGTGAGTTAATGACTGAATGAATGCAGGGGATCTCAAAGCACTTTGTATATGCACAGTCAGTTTTCTCTAGCTCAGGAAGCCTACCCCAGGGACAAAGGGCTTTTCCCTTCAGGTTAAAGGAAAAGTTCTCATGGCTTTGAAGTCTAGGAAGCCCCCACCATTAATTCTGTATGGGCTGTACCCCAATGGCAGGAGCTCTAGCTTATGGTCTAGTCTGTTCACTGAAGCTCCCTCCTTGGAAAAGTCCCTGAAGGAGTCCTGGGGCCAAACATGCTCCCAGGAGAATCCCAACCAATGGCTTACAAGGAGATTCAGCCTCATGCCCAGTTTGAAGAGAGAAACTGACCCTGAGATCACTCTGGTACTAACTTGTCCCCGCCTGGTCCAACCCACCTTGGTCCCATGGCTTACACAAGATTTAAACACTGTTTGGTGTCATTGACCAGGACATGGAGTTCGGATCCCACTCCAAGGTCACTCCCTCGGATAGTCACTCTGGTGCCTCCAGCCTTTGGACCAACATCTGGCTCCATGGAATAGACAACTGGGAGCTAATGAGGAAGAAGGAAGAAAGAAAAGGGGAAAGAGCAGGAAGAATGGGGGACCGGGCAAGGGAAGGGGAAGGAGAAGAGGACAGAGTGTAAAGATGAAGGCAGGGTGCAATAAGAAAGAGAAAGGTGGAGAGAATAAGAAAGGGGAAGGGAGAGAAGAAGGGAGGGGAAGAGAAGAGAATACAAAAAAAGAGAGAGAGAGAAATAAAAGAGAGGAGAGAAAGGGGAAGAGAACAAGGATGAAAGAGAAAGAAAGTAATGTGAAGAAAATAGAGGAGGTAAGCAAAGAAGACAGAACAAGGGAGAAATATAGAAGGAAAGAGAGAGAGGTGGGGAGGGGCAGAGGGAGACAAAGGGAGGGAATAAGAAAAAGAAAATAACAATGAGGAAGTGAGAGAAAAGGGGGAATAGGAAAGAAAAGGAGAGAGGAGGGAAATGTGAGCACAGGAGAGGAAGAAAGAGAGGAGAGAGGAGAAGAAAGAGCAAAGGAAAGGGGAGGAAAGGAGGGAAGGGGAAGAGAGGAAAGAGAAGAGAAAGAAGAGAGAAGAGAAGAGGAGGAGAGGGGAGAGGAAAGGAAGGGAGGAAAAGAGAGGGAAGGAAAGAAAAGAGAAGAGAAAGGAGAGAAGAGGGGAGGAGGGAAGAAGAGAAGGAAGAGAAGAGGAAGGGAGGAGAGAGGGAGGGAAGGAAGGAAAGAAAAGAGAAGAGAGAAGAGGAGAAGGAAAAGAAGAGGAGGGGAGGGGAGAGAAGGGGAAGGGAAGAAACGAGGAGAGGGAAGGAAAGGAAAGAGTAGAAAAAGAAGAGGGAAGGAGGAGAGAGGAGAGGAAAAGAAGGAAGAGAAAGGGGAAGGAGGGAAGGAAATGGGAGGAGAGGGGAGGAAAGGAGAGGGAAGGAGAGGAGGACAGGAGAAGAGAAATAACAGGAGAGGAGAGAAGACATTCTCAGCCACTAGACGCAGCCATCCCGCTTGCCGATTCCTCAGCTGATATGAGCACAACCCCCAGCCCTCCTTTCTTCTGTTTTTTGGTTTGTTTTCCTTTGGACTGCGCCTTCCTTCAGAAGCAGGAAGGATTCCTCAAGTGAAGCCTTCCCTGACTTCTTCAGTTCACCCAGCTCTCCCTGCCCCACTCCCCCTTGCTGACTCCTGACTGTCAGCCCCACACACCTGGCATCAGATCACAGAGGGCTCTCTCCTTTGTGCCAGCCAGGTCAGAGCCCTGCTCTAATAGCACACAGTGGGCATGGGCCTACTCTTGCCTTCTCCTGGAATGGTTTCTGGCTACTGACCCAAGGCTCCCCAGCAAGACCTTGAGCTCCCCCAAGGCAGGCACCACGAGGCCCCCTCCTTCCCTCCCTCCCCCAACTCCCCTCCCTCCTCTCCCTCCTATCACAGGTAGCACTGAATCCCAAGCCCAGCAGTAGACCCAGGCGAAAGATGAGAAGACTATTTTCCATCAGGGGGGACATCAGTGTTACCCATGAAAAGATTTTCTGAGCCCTCGGTTTCTTCTTCTGTCAAGCGAGGAGGTCGAACTCCATGTCATCTGAGGTCTTTCTACTTCTGCCATTCTCGGGGTCTTTGACATCTCACCCTGGACTAGCCCAGGGATCAACCATATCAATCCCTCCATCTGAGGACCAGCCTAGAGGCTCAGTGTTGGGTGGTCTTGGGTCATGAATGTTTTGACCACAAGCACTGTGCAACAGCAGGCCCTGATTGTTAGGGTTCTCTCCAGCCTCAAAGGATCTCGTTTTCACTCCTCTGTTTACATGTTATATCCCACTTCCACATTCCATCTTTGGAACATAAGCTTCTTGAAAGCAGGGTCTATTTTTTCATTTTATCATAGGCTCATAGATTTAGAACTGCTTGCGCCCATAGACCCTTTGAGTTCAACACTCTCATTTTACAGAGAAGCTCATAGACGTGAATTCGTGTGCCCAGGGTCGTGTGCCCAGTTGAGGAAACTGAGGAAAAGAGGGTTAAGTGACTTGCCCAGGGTCACACAGGCAATCTGTGTCACAGGCAGAACCTGAACCCAGTTCTCTCTCCACATGCTGCCTTTGCATCTCCCATGCCTAGCACAGCACCATTCACATAATAGGCACTTAGGAGTATGGATCTAGTCAGAGGTCGGCTGGTCCAAATCCCTCATTTAACAGATGAGAAGCTGATACCCAGGGAGGCCAAGTGACTTAAGGGGACACAGATGAGATTCACACTCAAGACCCTGGACTTCAAATCCAGCATTCTTTTCACTGTGCCTTTTTGACACTGAATAAATGTTGAAATCTTGGAGCTATTGAAATATTTTAAGCTGCAGACCACACAGTCTCATTGGCATCCAATTTACTGATAGAGATGAATGGTTAGGAGCCATAGGGTTAAACCAACAAGAGCCTTCACTTCTTGCCTGCTCCCCACCTACAGAAACCTGGAGCCAGGAAGGAGAAAGGAAATGTCATCCCCATCCCCTTATCCTACCATCTAGGGCGGTCCCATTGTCCAACAGGATAACATTGCCAGGCTCATAATAGGTACTTCATAAATGTTTCTTTCCTTCTCCCTTTCTCAGAACATCTTGGTCAGTGTGAAATGCATGGCAGGACCTTGCGGTACGGGCACCGAATCATCCAGAAAGAGCCTTACCACGTAGGAATAGCGCTCCTTCGACTTCCCTTCCTTGCTCACATTAACAGATACGACATCGGAAAAGGGGCTGGGCGATGGGCCAGTCCAGCAAACGATCCTGATGGAAAAAAAAGAAGCTGATAAGGAGGGGCAGGAAACTGCTCCCCTGGGAACCCAACCAGCCCAAGGGAGAGAAGATGCTGTAGCAGCTGAACAATTTTCTCTCTCCAGGAGCAACTCAGTTCCACTTGCTCCCCTGTGGAAAACTGAAGAGAAGAGGGTGGTGTGGGGTTCCCAGGCTCCCCACCAGATGAGGGACCAGATGAGATGGACACAAACATGGCGGTGGGGAATGACAATAACAAGGTAGACCATGTGGCTTCATGAAGCCCACTCCTAGTCACTAAGGCTGGGAGGCACACAGGTCCAAGTCTCCCCAGTCCTAGCCCCCCATTCCCCTTGAGCTTGACTCTGGATTATAACTGCTTGGGCAGGAAGAGACACTTTTCTATCCTCTTAAGCCAAGTCCAGTTTCTGCACTGGAGGCTACAGAAGGGTCAGTTTCCCTGTTCCCATCCCCCACCCCCACGCACCCCCATACACACATGCTGCTCATTCCCCACCTAGTCTATGTCTTTGCTCAAGCTCCATCCTCTTACCTAGAATGTCTTCTTCCAGCCAGATCCTACCCAATCATCAAGACCTACCTCCAATGGCACCTCCTCCCGAAGCCTCCCTTGGTCACCCAATCCCTGACTAATCTCACCTTTCTCTGACTTGCAGCAACTTAGCACCCACTCTTGGCTAACCAAGATTATTTTATGACCATTTCATGTATCCACCTCATAGGTAAGAACATAGGATGGACCACCAGAAGGGGTCTTCAAGAAAATCTAGGCCAAAGCTTTGTTTAATGAACTAGAAACTGAGACCCAGAAAAAGAAGTGATTTGTTCAAAGTGGTAAGCTGCAGAATCAAGATTTAAACCCAGGTTCTTTGCCTCTAAAATATAGTGCCCATTGCATCCTGTAATGCTGCCCCCAGTTAGACTGCATCTTCCTTGAAAGCACAAACATTTTAGGATTATAGATTCAGAGCTGGAAGGCACCTCAGAGACAACAGCTACTCCAACCTTCTCATTTTACAGATGAGGAAACTGAGGCCTGGAAAGGTTAAGTGATTTATCCAAGATCATACAAGTATTAAGCACCAAAGGCCAGATTTGAACCAAAGTCCTCTTACTCCAGAGCTAATACATCCCCCCTGTCCAATGCTGCCTCCTTTAAGCATCTCTTGTCTTCCCCCAACTCCTACCCTTTAGTGGCTGGGCACAAGTCTGGGCCTGTGGTAGGCATCTAATAAGTAAGTACCTGCTGGATTTCCCCAGGTCAAGGACACATTGGAACCCTAACTGAGCTGCTGTGGGGCTCATCCGTGGTGGCTGCAGCATGCCGTGACCGGATGAGCATTACTCTGGGATTCAGGAAGCCTGGGTTTCCCGCCTATCTCTGACAACATTTGGCTGCGTGATTCTGGAAGAGATACTTCTTTCTGGTCCTCGTTTTCCTCATCTGTGAAATGATGGGGCTGGACTAGGTGATCCCAAATTCCTTCCTAGTCCTACCCCCCTAGGATTTCCAACGGTGACAAAGGAGGACTACCACCTCGGACCATCAGCCCCTCCCCAGCTACTCACTCCTCAGAGACGATGTATCTGCTTGGGAGGGGCTCGCAGGCCACACCACCGATCCATGTGCTGTGGGCCACTTCACTGAATCTACGGCCCAGGTTCTTCCCACGGATTGTCAGAAGGGTACCTCCTTCCAGGGGGCCACTCAGGGGCTCGATCTGCCACAGACACCAGGTCGTGAGGATGGAGGAGTTTAAAGCAATTGCCAAGGCAGGGGACAGGAAGTAGGGGTGCGGTCAGAAAGGGCTAAGGGCAGGGCCAGTGATGGTTGTGAGAACACATAGAAAGTACTTAAATAATTAGCAAAAAGCCTGTGCATCCACTATTCTCACAACAGTCCTGTCAAGGAGGGAGCTGCGTTCCTGTTTAACCCACGAGATAGCTGAGGACCAGAGAGAAGTGACTTGTCCACAGTCAAAGAGCTAGTGAGTTTCAAACTCAGGATTTGAACCCCACTGTTCTTGACCCCAAGTCTGGCACTCTGCCCCCTACCCCAGGCTGCCTTTCTCTGTGTGAGACCTAACTTGTGAGCTCCTTGAGGGCAGGGACTCTCTTTGCCTCTGGTTGTATGCCTGGGGTTTAGCACAGTGCCCAGCTCCTAGAAGGTGCTATATAACTGTTTACTGAATGAATGAATGATAGGAATGAGTGTATACATCAACTGTATGTGTTCATAAAGAGCCTATATCCACAAAGAGTATAAGCCTTTTGAGGGCAGGGACAGCTTCGTTTTGGTTTTTGTATCTCTAAATGCCTGGCACACAGTAGGTGTTTAATGAATGCCTATTAAGTGATTGATTAATATACAGGAATGATTGTATTGCATGAGTGTATCTCTTTTGAAAATATTCTAGAAAGATTGTATGATTGTTATATGTGTATGCGTATGTGTGTACACACATATGTGCCATGGGATCATTAGATTCAGACCTGGAAGGGATGTATGTTAAAGATAAAAAGACCAATGAATCAATCATATGGAGATTTAGAGTTGAAGTGTACCTTAAAGTCCACCTAGTTCCATCCCCTTTTTCATACAAATTATTTATTTTTAAACTAAATTTTATTTTTTCAATTATCAAGCATTTCTTTTTCTCTCTATTCCACCTCCTCCTCACAACCAGGAAAAAACAAAGACCCTAAGCCTTTATAAAAAGCAGAGTCAAACAGAACTAGTTCCCATGTTGACCATGTCCCCAGATGTGTCTCATCCTGCATCCTGAATCCATGCCCTCTGGAAGGTGGTGGGCAGCAGGCTTCCTTAGGGTTCCTCAGGAATCAGGAGCCCCTCGTTTTAGAGATGTGAAAAGGGATACCAAGAGAAACGAAATGTCTTGCCTAAGGTGACATAGGTTTTTCTACTCCTACCAATAGTTAGCATTTACAGTTTTTAGGATTTGCAAAGCACTTTAAGGATGTCGATTCATTTGATCCTCATAAGAAGTCTATGAGGTAGAGGCTATTATTATTGCTATTCTACAGATAAGGAAACTGAGGCATGTGTGTGTGTGTGTGTGTGTGTGTGTGTGAGAGAGAGAGAGAGAGAGACAGAGACAGAGAGAGAGACAGAGAGAGACAGAGAGAGAGACAGAGAGAGAGAGAGACAGAGACAGAGAGAGAAAGACTTGCCCAGGGTCACACAGCTAGGAGGTATCTGAGACTGGATTTAAACTCAGGTCTTCTTGACTACAAATGTATAGCTATCCCCCAAGTATAGCTGCCAATACTTTTTAAAAAGCAGTTTGGGGATTCAAACCAGGATCTTTTGACTTCAAATCTAGTATTTTTTCCAATATATTAAGCTATCAGGATATATTACATGTGTATATGTGTAAGTAAGAGCATGCAGGGATGTGTGTGTGTGTGTGTGTGTGTGTGTGTGTGTGTGTGTGTGTGTCTTGGTGCACATACACTCACCTTCCTGATCTCTGGGGCAGGGCAGGTCGTAGCAACGGGCACGGGCTGGTTGTTCAATCTACAGCCCTCATTCCAGATGCATCGGTGGCCCAGGTCCTCTCTCCCCATGCACTGGGAACAGTCCGTGCTCCCCATGGCACAGTTGTAGACCTCCACTGCAGCAGGAGAGATCAGGGTGAGCACACGTCCCACAGTCTCCCATCCCAGCCTGCCTGCCAGCCCCAAATCAGCCCCAGTCCCAGCCATCATTTGTCTGCATAAGCAACAGCATGTTGCACACTGTCTGAATCACAGGGACCTTGGCTCTGTGCCTGAAGACTTCCCAGAAGTACTGGGCATTCATTCCCACCGAAATATAATTTAGCACTTTGGGGAAAAAAAAAAGGAGCAATCTGGTCAATCTTTGTTGCATTTTTCAAATTCTTAGCATCCACACGGGGATCTCTGTGGCTCCCTCTGTCCTGCTAGCTGTACGATCGTGCCAACGGGCTGCCGCTGAGGCTCTCTATGGCCTTCACTGCCTCAGTTCCTCCACTTCTGCTCCTATGTCTCTTCCTAGCTTCTTTAACTGCCCAGGCCATTCCCGCAGCCAAAGCATCCCATTATTGAATAAGTAGAATCTTTTGGACCCTCCGTGGAACTCTATGATTCAGCTTTGTTCACCTACATGCTGTTCCTCATACATGACACTCCCAACTCCATGCTATCCCCCATTCCCGGGACACTCTCCCTCCTCACCTCTGTCCCCTGACTTCCCTCAAGGCTCAGCTCAAATCCTACCTTTTGGAGAAGGCCTTTTCCAGGCCACCCAACCCCCGTATCCCTAAGGCTCACTAAATCACTAGAAAAACAAGTTGTTGACTGACTAACTCTCATTAAGAGGCCAAGTGCATAATCCACTTTCATGAGAACTGTTCTAATCTAAAAAATGTCCACACCTTCCAATCTCATCATGGCGGGAAGGGGAAACCAACAAATCACTCATAGGTTGAGGAGATGGCTTTGCCTACAGCTCTGGACTAAATTCCTGGTGGCCATTAAACAACCCTTCCAAGGCTTCAAAGCATCCTAGGTCTATAGCTCAGAGACCATCTAGTCGAGTGCCACAGATAGGAAACTGAGGCCCATGGAGGTTAAATGAGTGCCTCAGGACACAAAGGTAATAAATAAGTGTCAGGGACAGGCTTCGAACTCAGGTCTTCTGACTACAGATCCAGGGCTCTTTCTACTCCACCACCGTACTTCCTTAATTCACTGGTATTTGGCTACCCCCAACTCTCGTTAACCAGACGATTTCCCCCACTATTCAGCTTTTAGAGAAAAGAGGAAAATAACAATAGAAGAAAGCAGATTTCTGTGACTCATTCAAAAGAATGACTTCCAGGGCATGTCTTGGATCCAACCCAACATTAAATCTCTTCTCCATCTCCTTGCCCATCCTGGGCAGAGAGAATAGGAGATGTTCATGCTGGGGCCCCATCAATAAGGCTAGATGCCATCAGGGTCAGAAGACTCTGCTGACTAAGGCAGGGATGGAGACTCAGGCATTTTAGAAAATCTGGCTCCACTTCTTCCTCCCACCCCCTAACTGTTGGCATTCCCCAAAGTTCAATACTTAGCCTTCTGTTCTTTCTTGCTAAGAGATTACATTCTCCACTCTCACAGTTTCAACTATCACTTCTAGATGAATGATTCCCAAGCCTACATCTCCAGGCCTGGCCTCTCCCCCTGAGCTGCAGGCTTTTATTTCCAATGGCACTTCTGCACAGATCCATCTGTACCTCGAACTCCATATGGCCCAAACCAAACTCACTGGTAGACTCTGCAGAGATGGCAGCTGTATATAGGGCTGGACAGGGGGCTCACAGCTGCCCTGAATTACCTTTGAGGCCATAAAAGAATATTAGGACACTCTTTGGATCTAGTTACTGGTGGATCAGGGCCTTGATTCTGGTAACAGAGTATAACGTAAACAGAGTTTGCATGTGCACTGGACAGAGATTTTGTGTGGAAGTAAAGAGTGAGAGATTGGTTAGTTAACCCAAGTGAGTACAAGTTATCAGGCCTGAGTCAGGACATTAGAGAAGGGTGAGTCTGTGTATGGGAGGGATAGGGGAATTGCTTTGGGGGCTGATCTTTGAGTAATCAGAAGGGAAGTTTTGAGCCTTCAGGCCACAGGACTAAAGGACCATAGATTGAGAGCTGGAAGGAGCCTTAAAATAATCTCATCCAGGACCGTCATTATTTTATAGATGAGGAAACAGAAGTCCAGGGAAGCTGTGACTTGCCCAAGGTCATGCAGGTAGTAAGCATCAGAGGGAGGATTTGAATCCTGGTCCTCTGACTCCAAAGCTAGCACTTCTTCCATTGTGCCACACCACCTTCTTTCTAATACTTAAAACACATCTTAGAGTTTTCCCTCATAGGTCTTCTCTCCCCTACAAGACTGTAGGCTCCTTGAGAAGAAAGATAATTTGATCTATTTCCCTATCCCCCAAATTGTCTTGTATACTGTAAGCCCTCAATAAATGAGTGTGGAATTATACAAGTATAGCATCTTGAACAAAGGAAGTCTCCCTCATTATTCCTTCATTAAACATTCAGTAAGCACCTAAGTTCCTTGAGGGTATGGACTGTCTTTGTAACTCTGGGTCTTGGCCATTTGTTTTTCTGGCCAAATAACTGGGTCCAGAGGAGAGTGTGAGGCTGGTGACTTGGCACAGTACTCTCTCACTGCAATCCAATTCACTTGCATGTCATGGCACCACCTCCCTGATCATGATCCTGGTCATGGTCCTCCTCGAGAACGAAAGACAGACAACAACAGCACAGTCCTTGGCACACACTGAGCCCTTAATAAATGCTTATTTATTAACTGATTGATAGTCCTGCTGTCCACTGTCCTGATCAGACCATTCTGGGGTTTACATTTTCAGGGAACGCAATGACAAATTCAAGCACGTTTGGAGGATGGTGATGCACGGTCCTGTTGAAAGCCTGGAGGAGAGAAGACTTCCAGGGGATGTGATCACTAGAGGACTGTCATATGGAAGAGACAAGTGGTTTCTTGTATGTGGCTCCAAAACATAGAACCATAACCAATGGATAGCAATGACAGGGAAACAGATTTCTCATTAAGGGTAGCCAGTGGAAAAGGGGATAGACAGCCAACCTTGGAGTCAGGAAGACCTAAGTTCAAATCTGGCCTCGGACACTTAGTAGCTGTGTGACCCTGGGCAAGTCACTTAACCCTGTTTGCCTCAGTTTCCTCATCTGTTAAATTAGCTGGAGAAGGAAACAGCAAACCACTCCAGTATCTTTGCCAAGAAAACCCCAAATAGGGTCATGAAGAATCAGATATGGCCAACTGATTAAACAACAAAAGACTTCCCATTACTATAAGGAATCCCTACAGTAAGGAATCAGAGCTGTTCCAAAGTGGAACGGGCTGCTTTGGTGTTATTAGAGGTATTCAAGCAGGGATTGGATTCCACCTTTTGGGGAGAATGCCAAGGGGATAAGCACTTTGGGAGATAGAGTAAATAAGGTGGTCTCTATGATTTCTTCCAATTCTGAGATTATGGGGGTGGGGGAGCTTTTTGGTCATCTCCTCGGTTAGCCAGAAAACTCAAATAACTGGAATTTACTTGTGTCATTTTAAGCATTTGGTTAACTGAGATCACATTATACTTGTTTTCTGCAAGTCTTAACTACCCTATTAGCCTGGGAGCTCTCTAAGGCAAGGGACTCTTCTAACCCAAAGTGGGCTGAGAGCTTCAAGGGAAAGAAATGTCTTTAAAACTTTGGAAATGCAAGATTTTTTTTTCTCATTTTCTCAGTGAACAAATAATATGAATAAGGCTCAACAGTCATCTTTATGCTGATCTTCTCCTACTTAAACATCATTCACCCATTGCCTAAGACTCACAGTTTGCTTTTCCCAACTCTCAAATGTAGGGAAACTAGTTGAGGGTTTTATTTACATCAACCAGTTTTACAGAAACCACAAAGTACCTGTTTAGGCGATAAGAATCTTAGAGCTCAAAGGGACTTTGGCCATCACCCAGACCAACCCCTTCATTTTAAAGCTGAGGCCCAGAGCAAGGAAATGACTTGTCCAGGGTCACTCAGGCAGGCCTATTCCAGAAAGTGTTGGACTGGAGTCAGAAGATTTGAGTTCATGTCCAGGCCTCAATATATCCTAGCTGTGTGATTGTCAGCAGATTACTTCCCTTCTCAAAAACTCAGTTTTTTCATCTGTAAAATGGGAAGAGTAATACCATCTATCTCATAGGGTTGTTACAATGAAAGTACTACGTAAACATTAAAGGATTATATTAATTTGAATCATTATTGTTACTCTACTTTTTAGGGCTTATCTAATAAGTCCTGGACAGGTAGCAATCTGCATTGATGGAGGGAGTACCCACACTAGAAGTTTCCTACACTGAAAAAAGTATCCTACATAGCTTCAATGAAGATGAATTTGTGTGCCATATTATTTTGTCTTATTTAAGCTATATCTTTTAAGTTTTAAGATGTTGTTGGTAGGAGAATATCAGATTATCCCTAAGATCTTTTAACAGGATCTAGTTCTTTCTTTCTCTTTATCTTTTTAAAAAAAGATCATTTATTTTTAACATTCCTTTAAAAAAATTGAGTTCCAAATTCTCTCCCTCCCCTTAGCCCCTCCCCCACCCACTGAGAAGGCAAGCAACGTGATATCAATTATATCTGTGAAATCCTGTAAAACATATTTTCACATGAGCCTTTTTTTTTTAAAAAAAGCAAGAAAAATAAAGTGAGAAAATTATACTTCAATCCGCACTCAGACTTCATTAGTTTCTCTCTCCGGAGGTGGATAGCATTTTTCATCGTGAGTCTTTTGGAACTGTCTTGGATCACTGTATTGATCTGAGTAGCTAAGTCTTTCATAGTTGATGATCATTATGATATTGCCGTTACTTTGTACAATGACTCCTGGTTCTGCTCACTTTACTTTGCATCAGTTCATATAGGTCTTCTCATGCTTTTCTGATCCCATCCCCCTCGTCATTTCTTATAGCATGATAGCATTCCACCATAATTCCATACGATAGCTTGTTCAACTGTTCCCCAATTGACGGGCATCCCCTTAATTTCCATCCATTTCTTTCAAAACCTCGCTTCTTGTCACTCTGTCACTTTCTACTGGATAGTGCTTTGTCTAAAATCCCGACTGTGCCCACGACAGGGGTCTAGGACACAGAGAGGATATTCAATGTCAGCTGCCATCCGCCTGAGGGACTGACTCCCATTCTTCCACTATGACAGACGGCCATGGCTGGCAAGGACTGACTCTTTGGTTGAATTCTTCAAAACATGCCCAGAAGTGAATGAGTGTGGGGGGCATCCAATATGATGCCTGTGATTAATTAACATCTGCTGAGTGGCAACAGTATGCAGGGCACTGTTATTTATAACGAATCAGTTTTGCTGAACAGAATAAATAAGTAACAATATTTTGCATTTCAACAGTATCTTCAATCTGACAACTTTAATTCCCCAACAAACATTCCCAAGGAAGCCTCCCTATTCACTAGACTGCTTTAGTCAGTGGAAGCCAGGGTTTTATCCTGTATTCAGGCCCTATTAGACCACATTTAATCAGTAGACATGTTGGCTTCTGTGGGAATTGCTGCATTTCCTGGTCTTTTGCCGCCAAGGTGGGTCTTGAGCTGCAGTGGGGACCTTCAGTTTTCGGCCCTATTTTCCATGGTATGGTGGGACATGCACTGGCTCTAGGGTCAAAGGACTTGGGTTAAAATCCTGTTTCTGGTACTATGTTGTTGTACAGTCATTTCAGTTGTGTCTGCCTCTTCATGACCCCATTTGGAGTTTTCTAGGCAACAATACTGGAATGGTTTGCTATTTCCTTCTCCAACTCATTTTACAGATGAGGAAACTGAGGCAAATAGAGTTAAGTGACTTATCTAGGGTCACACAGCTAGTCACAGATTTTTAACTCAGGTCTTCCTGACTCCAGGCCTGGTGCTCTATCCTCTGAGTCACCTATTTGCCCAGTTACTACATAACCTTGGGCAAATCTCTTAACCTTGCTGGACCTCAGTTTCTTCATCTGTAAAATGAGGTGGTTGAACTAGATGACTTGTAAGGGCCCTTCCAGCTTTAGATGTATGGATGCGTTTGTATTTTTGGGGAGGAGGGGAGAATGTATGTGTTTTTTTAAATGGCACCACCGGGTATTTCTTTCATTGACTTCCTCTGAAGGGCTCATAGCTTTACTGTGATCTTCAGTCTCTGAGGAAGAATTTCATATTTCGACTCAGAATCCTTTTTGTTGGATTTTTTAAGTCCTATGCCTTCAGGCAAGTTGACAGGGTTATGGGCAAAGTATGAGCGTATGGACGGGTGGGATGTGGTGGCTTGATGGAGCAGTGACTGGGTCCCTACATCTGTGTGTATGTGTGTGTGTGTACACACACGTTTGTGTGTGCTGGTGTGTGAGTGTGAGATTCCTCATTCTCCCCTTGACAGTGTCACACCTTTTCAGGAGCTGTTACCCTGAGCAAAGCAGGAAGGAATTAAAAGAAGAAACCATCAACTCATACCTGTCATCTTCTCAGGGCTGTCAATAAATCGGTCTGGTTTACCCTTTAGCTGAAGGTTTACTGGGAAAATCTGGCTCCTTTGAGGGGTGTGAAGCTAGAGAGGGAAACGCAAAGTGAAGAAATCGGATTAGGAAAAGGGGTCACTCTGGTGATTAAGGCATGGATGCGCACATCCACGCATGGAGAGATGCATGTACACACAGTTGTGTGCACACCCACACACATAGGTCCTCATGGTCACAACGATGCTCACTTGGACTTGCTCCCACACACAAATACACATGTAAATGCTCACTGATAGGCACAAAGGGTGTGCACCCAGTTACACCTACAAGCACACATGTGTGCACACCAGCCCTTATGTACACACACACACACACACATGCACACAGGAACATATGTGTCTAGGATTCACATATGCCATAGCCACATGAGGCCTGAAATCCACAGAGGTCAGTCCCACCCCTCTCAGGAGAGCAGCCCCTCTGACACCTAAGGCAAATGCCAGGATATTGGAGACAGGGTCTCCTTCCTGACTTTTGCTGAGACCATCAAACTGCAGGCACAGCAGCCCCACATGGTTCTGCATTTGATGAATTTTAGTAGAAACAAACAGAGGGAAGGGGTAGGCGAAGTCCAAGAACCAGAGGCAAACTCTGGAATTCTCTTTTCCCCAAAGGCCCTCTGGAGAGGTTGTCTTTTCACTCCTTGGTGTAATTTCTCTCTCTCTCTCTCTCTCTCTCTCTCTCTCTCTCTCTCTCTCTCTCTCTCTCTCTCTCTCCCCCTCCCTCCCTCTCTTCTCTCTCTCTCTCTCTCTCTCTCTCTCTCTCTCTCTCTCTCCCCCTCCCTCCCTCTCTTCTCTCTCTCTCTCTCTCTCTCTCTCTCTCTCTCTCTCTCTCTCTCTCTCTCTCTCTCTCTCTCTCTCTCTCTCTCTCTCTCTCTCTCTCTCCCCCCTCCTTCCCTACCTCTCTCCTATTTTGTTTTGTGTGTGTGTGTGTGTGTGTGTGTGTGTTTTAAGTAAAAAATTATTCCAGTCTCTACTGCTTGGGATGAAGCTTCAGAAAACAAAAGCCCAAGGAAAAAGGCCCAGGAGCCCCCATCACCACAGGAAGCTGGAAGCCCTCCTTGCCACCTCCCTGCCAAATCCTCTTTGGGTTCATGGGGTTGCCCATGAGACCAAAGGGCAAAGAGTGGGAAGTGGAGGGAAGAGATGAGAGACTAAAACATGAGCAGCGAAAGGGGACCTCAGCAAATGACCGAGTTTGCTCTTCAACAGTATCCACACAAAGGACAAAACCCACACACTCCCCTTTGTTCTGAGTTAACCAGGGGCTCCTTCTGTTTTGGCTAAGCCATCTGGGGGTAGGCCCAGCTCTTCTAACCCCCAATCCCATCCACCCACTCAGAACCTTCCCCCCAGACAACTCCCCAAGCCTTCCTAGCCCAGGAATGCTTGTCTGGGTTGGGCTGAACAGATGTTCCAGCCCCAAGGCTGGCTCAGGACCTCTTTGTATACACCTCCGAGGGGCAGGCTCCTTGGGCATACTTGTGAGGAGCAGAATGAGGAGGAAGGGAGAAAAGAGGGATCCAAGGAAGAAAAAGGGTAAAGAAGAGAAGGGAGGGAGAGGGAAGAGGAAGAAAGGGAGTGAGAAAAGAGGTAATGAAAGCAGAGAAGGTGGAGAGTGATGAATAGCATGGAGGGAAGAAGAAAGGCAGGAAGAAAGGAAAGTGGGGAGGGGAGAGAGGAGGGAAAGAGAGCATAGGAAGAAGGAAAGAAGAAAGAAGAGAAGGGGAGACAGAGACAAAAGGACAGGGGAAGGAAGAGATTGGGGGTGGGGATGGTGAAGGACTCGGGAGGCCAGGCCTTCCTCTGCTTCCATCCTACTTTGAAACAGGATTCCAACCTCCTTGCTGCGGGGGAGGAATGCGGACCTTTGGGAACTGAGCTTCCAGCCCCATCTGGTGAAGGTGGAGGATGGGTGTGAAGTCCTGTCTGAGCCTCCAGAAATTGCAAACACAGATGGTCACCTTTCCTCTTCTTGGACCCTCTGTGAGCTGAGAGACTGAGGGAGGGAGGAGAGTGGGATATACTTCCCATATTATTAACTTCACTACTCTGGAGTAAGTCAGAGTACATCCACAATTAAGAACAGCCCTATCCTCACTACTCATCACACGAAGCATGACGTGGACAGCAGGGCTTGGGTCATTCAGTGCATTCCCCTGTCTCTGGGCCTAGCTGTCCTTAAAATCACTGCAGACCCATAACTTATCCTTGGTAGAGTAAGATGGGCTAAAAATCTGGACCCAGAATCTTCCAGATTTTGTCTACCTCCAGTCCTTTTTTTCTAGGGTCGCAGGAGTTTTCCAGTTGGGGCCAAAATCTTATGACTTTGTTACTTCCTTTCCCACCAGGGCTAAGATCATAGGAACAAGTACCTAAGGTCACCTTGGAGAACATTTAGACAAGGAAACCAAGGGCCAAAGTGGGGATAAGGGTGGCATGGGTATGTTTTAGCTGGTCTGGACCCTTGTCTTTGGTGCCAATGTTGAGGGGTGGGGGGGAGTAGTGAGGGAGTGGAGAGGTGAGAGAAAGAAGGGAGAAGGGAAGGGTATGGGGAAGTGGAAGGGAAGACAGTTACCAGCCTAGTTGGAATTACCCCACTGGTCCCTGAAGGACAAAGGCCAATGATGGTGGATGACAGATGAGAGAAGAGATATCAGATCCATAGGCAGCTTCCCCATCCACATCCATGAGGACCCAATATCAGTGGCTTTATATGAGAGCCCTCTTCTCTAACTTACCACAACTTGGCTGCACTGAATTTCTGAAGCATTGACCCACGTGGCCTCAAAGGTCTCATCGCTTCCGAAGTTGCAGGCCAGAGATACACCCTGGAAGGAGACACAGTTGAAGAGTGAGGGCTCTCTGGCACATGATCAAGTGTATTAGTCGCTTGGTTTGGGTAAATACCAGAAGGGGGTTGGGGTGAGATTATTCTAAGAGAATCATGTCCCTACCCTTCTCAAGAACCCAGAATGACTCCCAGCTGCCTAAAGAATAAACCCTGAAATTCAAGGCCATCCATACTCTAACCTCACCTTACTTTTCCAACTTTCTCATGATGTCCCAATAGGTTAAAGGGGAGATAGCATGTACAGTGGGAAAAATGGTGGATCAAAGGATCCAGGTTGGAAAACTGCCTTGGACATGATTTTTCTTCTTGGGGGGCCAGGCTTCTCTATAGCTCTACAATGTTCACTTTTGGTTGCTTTGTGATTGTTTTCTCCTTGTACGTTGTTGAAGTCATTGTGCATATCATTTTCTTGGCTCTGCTTACTTCACTCGGCATCAGTTCATGTAGATCTTTCCACATTCAGCATATCTTACAGCACAGTAGTGTTCCATTGCATTCATGTACGACAATTTGTTTAACCATTCCCTAATCGATGGTCACTAACCTGGTTTGTAATTCTTTGCAATCACAAAAAGTGCTGCTATAAACATTTTGGTACGTATAGGATTTTCTTTTTATCAACAACCCCCATGGGGGTATAAGCTTAGTAGTGGAATCTCTGGGGTCAAGGGGTATGGATGTTTAGTCACTTTACCGGCATAATTCCAGATTGCTTTCCAAAGTGGTTGTGGTGATTCAGAGCACCACCAATAATACACTATTGTGCCTATCCTCCTACAGACTCTCCAGTGTTGACCCTTTTTATCCATTTTAGCCATTTTTGCCAATTTGCAGAATGTGAGATGAAACCTCAGCACTGTTTTGATTTGCATTTCTCTTATTATTAATGATTCAGAACATTCTTTCATCTGGTTCTTAAGAGTCTGCAGTTTCTTTGACAACTGTTGTTTATATCCTTTGTCTATTGAAGAACAGTTTTTGTCCACACACATGTATGCATGTATGTATACATGTGTAGATGGTATATGTATGCATACAATGTGCATATACATATATGCACACGCATATATATGCTACACGCATGTATGCATATAAGTTGTCTACTATGTATCTTGGATACAAAACCTTTATCTGCTAAATAAAATTCATATTCCCCTACCTCCCCTCTCAATAAACTTCATCCAAACCATGTCTACTTGAGACAGAAACCATTTTTCTTCTCTCCCCTCACTTATCTAGTTCCTCCTTACCCTTCCAGGCTCAGCCCACATTGATCAATCCCCTTTTTTGAACAACTACAGTATTCTGATGGCAGGGAGACAATGTTAGCTCTCCACCTGCCTCACGGACATTCTTTCTTCCATCTAGGCTCGCCCACCCCAGCATTTATTGACAAGTTTGAAGATGAGTCACTTAGTAAATATCGATTGATCGAGTTAATTTAGAAATGGAGGCTGAGGTCATCTAGTGACTAGTCTCAGATTTGGGGCTCTGTGGTGTGGATCCTCTTTAATTCTGTTCCATGTCTATGGGGGACCAAGCGGAGAAACTGAATTTGAAGTTGGAGCGGCTGGAGAGGCATTTGTGGATAAAACACCAGAAGGGGCTACAGACAAATTGAAGAACCTGATCTTCAAGAATGGAAAGGCCATCTCTCTGCCTCTTTCTCTCCCCACCTCGCTTGGAGTAGATTCTCTTTCCTTACACATCCGTATCTGCTGAACTTCTCTTCCTTCCAGTACCAACTCAGGCACCCTGGCCTCCCCATCACAAATGCTGGCAAAAGTTGTCTCTTCCACTTCAGATTTCTCATAGCACTTGGCCAGGCCCTTCTTTACTGCCATCACCTTGTACCATGTAAATTTGTCCACATGTTGTATTCCAGGATAGTTTCATAATACCTATCCATCGATGTATTACTAGCCTGAGCCTAGGGCCTTTCCATAGAGTAGGTGTTTAATAAATGTTTATTGGATTGGCTCTGAGAGCCAAAGAAATCCAAGAACTGGATATTAGATTAAAATGGGGGGGGGAGAAGGAGGTGCAGGGCAGCAGAGATGGTCCCAATCCCACTGAAACAGTTCACAAAAAATGCATGGTCCATGTTTTCTCCACCCTTTAAGACTGTCATCTTCTCAGGCTTCCAGGCCACATTGTAATGCTCCTTGGCTTCTTTCTCTCTTCTCGGCACCATGTACCTTCCCACCTGCTGGCCAGGCCTTAGCCTCATCAGCTCCAAATGGGAACTGCTGGGGTTTGCCTGGAGTTAGGAGGGGACAGGCAGCATGTTGCAGGGGATAGAATCTGGCCTTGCAGTTGGGAAGACCCAAGTTCACTTCTGATTTCTGACACCCTGGGTCTGTGTGAGTCTGGGCAAGCCTTTAACATCTTAGTGCCCCAGGCAACTCCATAAGCCCTAAATGGTGGTAAGATGGGTGCTTATCTACAATAACAGAGGGAGTTCCCTGACTGGAAATTTCCTATGCTAATGCAATTAACAAATCTAGCTCATCTCCCCAAAGGAAAATTAGGCAAAATGAAAAAATATGATCTAGAAATAATAGAAGGCAAATAATACACATCGATATGTGTGTACATATGTGTATTTAATGTTATATATCTATGCCTATATAACATAACACATGTATACACATGTCATATATACATTATAGGTGTATATGTAAATTATAATATATTGCATACATAGTGTTTTTTAGTCATTTTCAGTCATTTATGACTCTTCGTGACCCCATTTGGGGTTTTCTTGGCAAAGAAACTGGAGGGGTTTTCCATTTCCTTCTACAGCTCATTTTATAGACGAGAAAACTGAGGCAAATGGCATTAAGTAACTTGCCCAGGATCACACAGCTAGTAAGTGTCAGAGGCCAGATCTGAACTCATGTCTCCCTGACTCCAGGCCCGACACTCTATCCACTGTGCCAACTAACTGCCCTATGTGTGTATATACATACGTATAATATATGTATAGGTATTATATTATAGTTATATTACACATATAATGTTATATACATGTATATAAATTTCTATTCCATGTACACATGCACAATAGACACATATGTATTATATGTTGAGATATATCATATGCATGTTATGCCTATATGCATATACATTAAAATGATAATATATGTATGCACATGTTATCATATAAACACATCTATCAATCTATCTATGTTCTATCCAATCTATCTATAGTCTTCCATTTCCCTACTTTCCCCTTATGCGTATATCTATGTGAATGTGTACATATATGTATATACACACATATGCATATGCATGCACGTATATGCATATACATGTGTGCACACACACAAACATATACCTTTTTAGCTCTGCCTGTCCAAATCTTCTCTACCCTTTAAGGAGCAGCTCCAACCCTTACCTCCTTCAGAAAGCCTTTCCTGACCACTCCAGCCTAGAGAAGTTATCTCTCTCTTTTCTGAACTCCCAGGGACGTAATCACTGGGCTCTGGGTTGAAGCTAGCCCAAACCACAATTTAGCTTTGTGTCTGAGTTTTTCTTGCCTTAGAACCCCAGGATGGCAGAACATTAGCACTGGGAAGGGACTTCTAAGACCATCTCACCTAACCCCTTCCCTTTACAGAGTAAGAAAAATAGTCCTAGCCAAGGGAAGAGCTTTGTCCAAGGTCACATTTTCAGTTAGTGGCAGTCAGGATTAGAACTCAGGCCACCAAGTCATGTACTCTTTTATTAGGTCAAACACAGCCTCACATCTCATCCACCTTCCCTTGTAATGACTTTGTATACATATTTGTGTCTCCTTGTAGGTGTATATACTGGTTTTCCCCCACAGAATGTAAGCTCTTTGAGGGCAGGGGTTATTTTATCTTTGTCTTTGAATCTCTCATGTCTCTTACAATGCAGTAGGGACCTAGTAAATGCCTATTGATTCACTGATTAATGTCTATAAGACCTCAGGCAAGTTACTTGAGTCTCTAGCCTTAGTTTACTCATCTGTAAAATGGGGGTAACAACCCTTACTTTTACAACTTCATAGAGACATGATGTAGAAATCACTTTGAATCTGCTAGTGCCATCCCTCCCATGATAACCTGTATTTAACTACTTTGGGTGTGTATAAATTTTATATTTATGTGGCATATACTTCGATATGTACGTGTCTCCCACACTACAATATAACTCATTAATAGTAAAAATGTTTTTATTTGTACTTGTATCCCTAAGACCTAGTGCAGAGTCTGGCTCAGAGTAGGCACTCAATAAATAATTACTGATTGATTAATCTATAAAGCATTGGGTAAATGCAAGCTGTTGATACTGTGGTAGTCAAAGTGAATGAATGAAATCCAAACATAAATCTGATCTTCAGCCTACTGGGCTAAGCCTTTGAAGCATTTCAGAAGACACTTGAGTTCAGTCTTTGCTATGCTGTACCCCAAAGGGCTTCCTGTTTATTCCCCACTCCCATTCACTTCCCTACCAGCAGCCTTCCCCTCAGGCCTGGAGGCCCCACAGAGGAAGCTTGGGAAGTTCTTTCTGTATCTTGCTGGTTGCTGATAAATCAGAGGTTGGGGATGGGAGGAGCTGACACAAACCCCACATCAGGGGAGGGACCTGCAACCTGGTAGTGTCAGGAAATGTTGATTTTCTTTGCAGTTGCTGATATGCAGAGGTCTTGTGCTTGGACTTTGCAGAGAGGGACTGACATCATCTGCTGCTGGCTGGCTCCACTGGTTTGGCTACTGGCCAGGCAGCCTGTAACATAGCAGGCACCCAGTAAATGCCTACTGATTCACCGACCTGAGGCAAGGTACTTAATTCTCTCAGTCTTAGTTTACTCATCTGTAAAATGGGCATAACAACACTTCCCTTTATGACCTCATCATCCCATCCCCATCTCAATGGAAGGCTTGCTTTGAAAGCAGTAGGGCCAAAACTGCTCCCTCCCAAATTTAAAGGATCATGAGCTTAGAGTTG